GAAGCAGAGGCAGGAGGATCTCTGAGAGTTCGAGGCCAGGCTGGTTTACAGAGTGAGTTCTGGGACAGGCTCTAAAGGAACAGAGAGAGAGAGAGAGAGAGAGAGGGAGGGAGGGAGGAAGGGAGGGAGGTAATGATCCCATACAGGCCAGCTAGTCTCAACCTGTCTACGCAGTAGAGGATGACCATGAACTTACTGGCACTGCCCCCACACCTATTTAAAGTTAACTTATCCACGGCGAGGTGTGGAAATGGAATCCAGGAATGCCAGGGAATCCATCTACCTGTAAGTCATATCCAGAACCTTTTTTTTTAAATTAATTATTTATTTATTTTTGGTTTTTCGAGACAGGGTTTCTCTATGGCTTTGGAGGCTGTCCTGGAACTCGCTCTGTAGACCAGGCTGGCCTCGAACTCACAGAGATCCGCCTGTCTCTGCCTCCCGAGTGCTGGGATTAAAGGCGTGGGCCACCAACGCCCGGCAAATTATTTATCTTTTGTTTGTTTCTTTGAAACAGGTTTTCTCTGTACACCAGGCTGGCCTGGAACTCAGAGATCCTCCTGCCTCTGCCTCCCGAGTGCTGGAATTAAAGGCGAGTGCCACCACTCCTGGCCCGGCTTTTATTGAAATGTTCATATGAGCTTACAATGTAATTTTAATCACATCCATCCTCATCCCTTCCGCTCCAGCTGACCACTCTCAACCTCATGTCCTTGATTTCTTTTTTTTTTTTTTTTCCGAGACAGCCTTGATCTCTTTAGTAACCCACCAAGTCCAGTTTGTGCTGGCCCTACACTCCTGCGCTGAGGCCATCCACTGGTGCTATCAGGACCATGACTCTTCTGTCCCCTCTGGAGCCACCGTTCCTGGCATCCCAGTTGGGGTGGGGCTCAGGACACTTCCTGCCCTTGCTGGCGAGTTCACTGGTGGATTTGCAGGTGCTGCTGGGAGTCCCGGTGGTTTGTGCTCCTACCCTGCTCAGGAGCCGCTTCTCTTCTGGTGGCCCCTGACCTCTGGTGCTTATAGACTTCCTCACCTTCTGCTATGGCCCCTGGGGGTAAGGGCGTAGGGGGGTTGTTTATTTTTGGAGCTCAAGGGCAATTTTGATTTGTTTGCTTTGTGAGGTTTTTTTGTTTGTTTGTTTTTCATGACAGTGTTTCTCTGTGTAGCCTTGGCTATTCTCAAACTGTGTAGCCCAGGCTGGCCTGGAACTCAGATCCGCCTGCCTCTGCCTCCTGAGTGCTGGGATTAAAAGCCTGTGCCACCTCTCCCGGCACATTTGGTATTTCTATGTTTTTTTTGTTTTGTTTTGTTTTGTTTTGTTTGGTTTGGTTTTTTCGAGACAGGGTTTCTATGTAGCTTTGGAGGCTGTCCTGGAACTCACTTTGTAGACCAGGCTGGCCTCGAACTCACAGAGATCCGCCTGCCTCTGCCTCCCGAGTGCTAGGATTAAAGGCGTGCGCCACCAACGCCCGGCTTATTTCTATGTTTTATGGAGACAGTCTCTCTCTCTCTCTCTCTCTCTCTCTCTTTCTCTCTCTCTTTTTTTTCAAGAGTCTCTTCATGTAAGCCCAGGCTGGCCTAGAACTATGTAGTGGAGGAGGACCTTGAAACCCTGATCCCCCTGCCGTCTGCTGCATGATGGGTGACAATGCAGTTTTGGTTATGGGGTGCTGGGGGGACGGGACTCCTGTCCGGCTGTGTGGGCACTCTACCCACTGAAGCCCAGCCCCAGACTTTAACCCTTTAACCTGCGGTTTACCCCCCCAGTGCCTCCCCAGCGTCCCCCAGTGCCGGCCCCATGTACTTCTGTGGTCTGGATCCTATGGGAACAATTCTCATTACTAAAGACGGGGCGAGTTCCTGAATTTCCAGATTAAAGGACTCAAAAGTACATCCTGCAGGCGCCAGACATAGTGAGTGCCTACGATCCCAGTTTGGAGGCCAGGAGTTAGAGGGAGAGAGGGAGAGGGGGGCTGAATCCTCCCCACACTGCCTCATCATTGTTTTGAGCGTCTCAGATCCTCTTCTCTGCCGGAAATACTTCCAAGTTTGGGCTCGAGAAATGGTTCAGTGGTTAGAGCACCTGCTGCTCTACCAGAAACCCAGGTTTGGTCCCCAGCACCCACATGACAGTTCACAACCATGTGTTATTCCAGCTCCAGGGGACCAGATGCCCCCTTCTAGCCTCTGTGGACGCATGTGTCACACACACACACACACACACACACACACACACACACACACACAGGTTTCTGACCCAGAGTTCTCACAGAGTGGCGAGCACTCAGAGCACTTAGAGTGACATCTTGGGGATACGTGTGGCTGTCACCAAGGGGAAGGTTATGGGTGTTGGAGACAGCATTGCTGCCCTAGCTCAAGGCAGTGTCAGAGCAAGGAAATGGAAGGTGAGAATCCAGTCTCCCTATGAGGGGCTTGGTGGTCCCCACGTTCCCTCCGTCTGTACGTTTGTCTCCTGTGTCTTCCCTGTATTTGTTGTTAAACACATTTTTTTATTTTCTATTTATTTTTGCACAAGTGTTTTGCTTGAATGTATGTGCATGTCTGGTGCCTCTGACGCCACAGCAAGGCACTAAGTCCAACAAAAGTGGAGTTACAGTTGTGAGCTGCCATGTGGGTGCTGGGAATTGAAGTTGGGCTGCTCTCCAGCCTGCACCTGCTTCAGTCTTATCATCTTCCTCCAGCCTGTGTTCCTCTCAACAGTCTTCTATGTTTGTTTGTTTTTTCCTCTGTGGCTTTGGAGCTGTCCTGGAACTCGCTCTGTAGACCAGGCTGGCCTCGAACTCCCAGAGACCAGCCTGCCCCTGCCTCCCGAGTGCTGGGATTAAAGGCGTGCACCTGGCTCTCCCAACTGTCTCGATAGCTCTATTTCTCTGAATTTTTTCTTAATTTCTGTGCGTGCAGAAGTCAGTTCCTCTCTCCCCCATGTGCATCCTGGGGGTTGGACTCGGTCAAGTTTGGCGACAAGCCCCTTTCTAGACCTGCTGAGCTAGCTAGCGTGTCCGCCCCGTTTCTGGCAGTCCACCCCGCCCCCTAGTGGCCTCAGAGGGACCCGACACCGGGCGCTGAGGAGGTTGTAACCTGTGTGAACGAGGTCTGCCGTGTGTGTGTGTGTGTGTGTGTGTGTGTGTGTGTGTGTGCATGCGTGCGTGCGTGTGTGTGGTCATCTGGGTGAGCACCCACCCCTCAATTACACCCAACCCTATTTTTAGATACGCAGGCAAAACAGGTAAACACACTGAAAATACTAGAAGCGACCAGACCAATAACTAACCCCAACAGAGCCCTGAGGGAAAGTGGAGGCCAGCAGCGACGCCGATCTGTACAAGCCACATTTTGGACAGCTGCTGTTCATTTTTATTTTTATTCTGTGTATGTGCGTGCGTGCGAGCGGGCGCCTGCCGCGGGTCGCCTGCGGGGGTCAGGGGGCAGCCAGCGACAGGCGGGTCCCTCGGCCCACCCAGCGAGCTTCCGGGAATCGAACCCAGGTCGTCAGATTTGACGGTGAGCGCCTGAGCCCGCGGAGCCGCTCTCGCTGCGCGCACGGAAGGTCGCCGGCGGCGCTCCGGGAAGGCTGCGGGCCGCCGCTCGCCAAGCGGGGGCTCTTTGACCTTTGACCCGTTCTCAACGGCCCTTGGGAACGAGGCTGGACCGGCTAAATTTTGGGGAGCCGCGAGGGTCTCTCTCCACCCTGCCGCTCGCGGCCGCTCCCCGGAGGACGTTGACGCGCGTGAAGTCTAACTCGAGCCCCGAAACTCCGAGGTCACCACCACAAGCTGCGGTACCGCTCGCCAGTCCGCGTTGGCTGACGGACGTCTATAACAACCATTCAGAGACAAGATCCCGCCTACACACGCCAGCGCTGACCAATTGTGTCTCCGGAGCCCCACTGAGGGGCGGGGCTTGAAGCCACAGCCCACAGCCGTTCATGACGCTCCTTTACTGTCGCTGGCTAACTCCAATTCCCATTGACGGGCGTCTGAGTCAGCCAATGGGAACGTAGATCCCGCCTTCTGAGGTGGAACCCGAGCTGTCCAATGTCAGTCCGAGCGCCCACTCCGGTCCAAATAGGCCAATCCGCGTTGGGAATCGAGGCGGGCTCGAGGGGCGGAGCTTAAGGCTACAGCCAACTGCCGCGCACGTCAGCTCCGCCAGGGGGCGTGTCCGCCGTTGAGGCGTGCGACGACGGCGCGGCGCAGGGCGGTAAACAAGATGGCGGCGGCGTGTCGGTCTAGGAAAGGGGAGGCGGCTCACGGTGTCCGCGAGTGAAGCGCGAGCCGCGGAGGGTGGCGCCGGCTCGGACTTTTCCCTCGCGGGCAGCGTCTTTCTGTCTGGAGTTCGATTCCCCCCTCGCCGCTCCGGCCTCCTGCCTGTCGCGCGGCGGCTTGGCGGCGAGGGGGACCCGCCGCCCAGGGTGTTTTCCCCCGTCGGTCTCCGGAAGGTTCCCTACCCCGACTTCGGTGCCTGCGGCCTGCGCGTGTCCCGGTGCCCTGCGTCCGGGTGGAGTCGCGTCCCGGGAAGTCACGGAACTAAGGGGCCGCGCGGGGCGTCGGCGCGGGCCGGACATGGACGGCGCGGACTGGCCTCGGCGCTGCCGCCTTGGGCGCCGGAGCGCGGGGCCCGAGTGGCGACCATGACCTAGCGGCCCGCGCGCCGCGACGGCGGACCGTCGCCTCCGTCGGAAGCAGCGTCCCCGGGGACCCGAATTGGGGGGACGCGAGGGTTGATTGCTTTTTTCCTGCTTATTTTTTTTCTCCTTGAACATCCAGAAGACGGGGAAAAGTCAAAAGTAAAGAATTGGCGCCCACGAAGGGGACGTGGACCCGGTTGAGGGGACCGGGAGGGTTGGGGAGGTGGTTGTTTTTTTTTTTTTCTTTCCTTTTTCCTTCTTGAACATTTGGAAGAAGCGGGGCGGGGAGGGGGCAGATTCGAACTCGGAAAGAATTGGCGTCCCTGAAGGGGACAAAGACTGGGCCAGGATGGACGTGGCGGACCCCCAGCCGCTGGGCCTCTTTCCCGAGGGCGAGCTGATGTCGGTGGGCATGGACACCTTCATCCACCGCATCGACTCCACCGAGGTGATCTACCAGCCGCGCCGCAAGCGCGCCAAGCTCATCGGCAAGTACCTGATGGGGGACCTGCTCGGGGAGGGCTCGTACGGCAAGGTGAAGGAGGTGCTGGACTCCGAGACCTTGTGTCGCAGGGCGGTGAAGATCCTCAAGAAGAAAAAGCTGCGCAGGATCCCCAATGGCGAGGCCAACGTCAAGAAGTAGGTGCCAAGGGCCTGGGGCCGGCTCGGGCACTGCTTCCTCTTTCCTCTACTCCTGGCTCGTCTCTCTCCTCCCCTCTAACCCCCCTCCCTTCTCATCTCCTTCCTTCCTTCCTTCCCTCCTTCCTTCCTTCCCTCCTTCCTTCCTTCCTTCCTCTCCCCTCCCTCTGTCCATCTATTCCATCTGTACCTAGGCGTCACTGCGCAGGGACCGTGTGCTCCGGGCGCCCCCAGGACTTCCCTGGTGGAGGCCGTGTGACCACGTCCAGCCCTCTTTCCGCCGGATCTTGGCGCTGGCCCGGCCTGGCTTCCTTGGCGGGCGTTGCCAGGCGGGTGGCTAGTTTGTTTACGGAGTCAGAGGGAGCCGGTGGGGCCAAAAATAATGGTGACCACGGGCTGGGAGCGGGGAGGCTGGGGAGGAGGTAGCTAGCCAGTGCTGGCCAGGGTCCCTGCCGTGTCCTGCGTGGCTGTGTGGCTGGGCCGTGGGAATCTTAATGGCTTGCCGGGCTAGGCGGAACTTAGGAAACCTCACCTACTGGCTTCCAAGAAGGGGCCTTATCTGTGGGACCAGCCCAGGGGAGACTGCCTGGCTGGTGACCTTGCCTGTGGTCCTGTCCCAGGGAAAGCTGAGAGCTTGTTTTTGCCAGCTGCGAGCTGCTCTTGAGTGGTGCTCACAGGGAGGTGGGCAGCTCCAGACCAGGTGTGTGCACCCAGCTGGTGGAGCAGGGCAGGCTGGTGTCCTGGGCTAGCCTCAGACCTGCTTGGCTTCTTGTATATGGGTGGCCCTGGGTTAGTCTGACTCTGAGGGATCTGGGGTGTTCCTCCAGGTGGGAGCAGCTAGAAGTCAGACCTGAGCTGGGGAAACCTGTCTTGTGAAGTGGAGGTGCCATAGGCTGCTCGCCTCAAGTCTGGGTGGTGTCTCCCGAGGCAAGCAGCCCCTCTCAGGTCCTCAGCCCCCTTAGCGCTCCATGTGCTCATGGCAGGTCTGTGTGCTGTCTCTCCCTGTGACTGAGGGCTCCACGGCCCTGTCCATGACTGCAAAGCCCTCGCCTGCTACCTCAGGTCTCATGCCTTCTGTACCTAACATTGCCTGGTCAGGTGTGACTTGCAGGGCCAGGCAGGCTCAGGTGAGAGAAATTGGCTTGTAGGCCCTGAAGTGGCCCCACCTGCATGTGGAGAGGCATGGCTAGGGTGCTGTAAGGGGTTTGGACTGTTCCTCAAGAGGGGGAGTGGGTCTGGGCAAGTAGCACCTGTCTCCAAGTGTTAGAGGGACCGAGGCAGGAGGATTGCTTCAGGTTTTACACCAGCCATAAGGAAAACGGGTTCACAAGATAGCTCAGGGGGTGAAGGCCCTGGCCCCACACGATGAGAGCAAACCCAGCTTCCATGCGTGTGCTATGACACATGCATACGTACAAGATAAAACCAGGGGAGAAACCCAGGCCAGAGTTGCAGACTGTCTGACACTGCCCTGTACCAAAGTCCTCGGATGACATGACCCAAGGCCAGGTGTCTGTGATGGAGTCTGGTGTGGTCCCTGTTGCCTAAGTGGCTGGTACAGAGGGAGCCCTGAGACTGGGCACCTGTCTGTGTGACCCACACGCAGTCCCAGCCTGGAAGAGGCAGCTTGGCTGACAGCTGGCCCAGTCAAAAAGGCCCTTTTGTTTTCAGGACTTAATAAACTCCACTCAAGTTGTGTCTCTCATGGTGAAGTGTCTGGAACCTTCCAGGCCCAGTCTGTGTGCGAAGCTTTCCCCTTCCAATACGATAGAGTGGATGCCCGCGTGAGGCAGTGTGGTGCCTGCCTTTCTGAGAAGGCTGCAGGGACCTGCTGCTCCTCAGTGTGCTGTGGTGTCCTCCACTGACTTACCAGGGGGCCTGATGGGGTGTGGCCCCCTGACTGAGGGGCCTCACTGCCCTTTGTGAGTGGACATCGTTCTGAGACCTGTCAGCAGGGACAGGTGAAGGAAGCGCCTCTCGCCAAGACATGGCTCTCCAGTCTAGTGTCTGTACGCTGCAGGCTAGGGCAGGAGCCTGGCAGGAGCTCCCCACTGAAGCTGGCCGTTTGCTTTTCTTCTTGTGTGTATGGTTTGTTTTTATTTTATGTGCATTGGTGTTTTACCTGCGTGTATGTCTGGGCCAGGGTGCTGGGTCCTCGGCACTGGAGTCACAGTTGTGAGCTGTCCTGTGGGTTCTGGGGACTGCTCTGGAGAGCAGCTAGTATTCTTTTGGTTTGGTTTGTTTGTTTGAGACAGGGTTTCTCTGTGAAGCCCTGGCTGTCCTAGACCTCACTCTAGACCAGGCTGGCCTCTAACTCTAACACAGAGATCCCCGGCCTCTGCCTCCGGAGCACTGCGATTAAAGGCGTGCGCCACCAACGCCAGCTTGCAGTCAGCAGCACTCTTAACCGCTGAGCCATGTAGGTCGGGAGGAATGGGGTGTTTGTGTGTTTTTGTTGTGTGTGGGTTAGGTGGGTAGGAATGGGGATGTTTATGTATTTGGGTGCCTTTGGGCGCCAGAAGAGGACATTGTTCCTTGGAGCTGGACTTAGGAGCTGACTAACATGGTGTTGGGAGCTGAACTCTTCTGCAAGAACCAAAAACATTCTTCACCATTGAGCCATCTCTAGTCCCCCATTCTCAAATTTGCTATGTAGTTGAGGATGACCTTGTGTCTCTTTGAGTGGTGGGATGACTACCATGCAAGGCGTTTATTTTGTGTCTCTGAGGCAGGGTCTTGCCATAATGCTTGCTCTTGAGCTCTGGGCCTCAAGAGTTCTTCCTGCTTCTACCTGTGTGTGCTGGCACCAGGCACACATCCCTGTCAGGTTGCTGTTTGTCAGCTGCAGGTTGTGGATGGCCAGCTCTGGCTGTGGGACTCCTGTGCCTCTGCTCCCCCAGTCACTAAGGCAAGGGCTCCTGCTGGCTCTTGTTCCTGACCCTCTTCATTCCTAGTTGTGTGTTAGTTTGTCCTCCAGGCAAGCAGTTAGAGCTGAAGGAAGGCCTTGCTAGCATGCTTAGCTGAGCTGTGTGCCCTCTGCAAAGTGCCTGGCCACCGGCTCTCCTTGGGGACAGGGAGCACTTGCTTGGGCAGAGTGACCTGTGCTGGATGGCTGCTGGCCACTTGGGGATGGGGGTGGGCAGTGTGCTCAGCTGTTGGGTGTCGCTGCCTGTCTGGATCTGCACCTGTCTGTGTTGCTGGCGGCTCTCCAGGGACAACTGGAGGCTGCCCCGTGGCAACTGGCAGCCCTGCGATGTGCTGCACATAGTTGGGATGCTAGCGAGGTGGGCAGCAGAGCCCTGGACTTGACGCCTTTCAACCCTCGGCGCACAGAGCATCCAGAGCATACTTGACAAGCTGCTGCCACTGCCTGCCTGAGGGATGTGCCTGAGGCTGCCCGTGTGCCGTGGCCTCCGGTGGGTCACTTCGTTGTGAGTGTGTACACTTGTGAGTGTGTACGTGTGTGTGTGTGTGTGTGTGTGTGTGTGTGTGTACATGTGGAGCTGGAGGTCAGCCAGAGGCGTTGTCTGTCTCTTAGGTGCAGTCCTCATTTCAGACGGTGAGCTGCAGCCGGTGACTAGGCTGCTGTGTGCTCACAGTGTGCATCACCAGTTAGATCTCATGGGTATTTAGGGTTGTACTCAGGTCCTTGTACTTGCCTGTCAGATTTACTCCTCCCTGTTAGCCACTTTCCTTGTCAGGGCGGTCTGGGCAGTCAGCACACAGGACTACAGGGGGTGTTGCACTCCAGCATCTGCTTCGAGTGAGGGCAGGACCCGCACCAGCCTTCAGGACGTTCAGGCGCCGCCGCTTCAGTACTGGGGGTGGAGCCAGGGCCTGGCACATGCAGGCAGGTACCCTGTCACCGAGCTCTGCTACCTTGAGGGCTCAGTTGGTTTGGTGACTCCTCTCTAAGCTTAGGGGTCTGTCTAGGGTGCAGGGATGCCTGAGACTGAACACCAGCACATTTGTAGTCTCAGCTCTGGTTAGTGGCCAGGGAACTTACTATGCATCCTGTCTGGGCCTTGCCTGGGCTGACCAAGAGGAACTTGGGTGGAACCTAGCGGAAGGCACTTCCTCCCTGCCTATGCTCTCTGCGCTCAGCTGGCTTCTTGCCTTCTCCAGTGCCACTGCACAGGCAGTTTCTCTCATCAGTCATTTTCTGTTGTTTCTGAGCCAGGGCTCTCTATGCAGCCCTGGCTAACCTGCAGCTGCCTCTGCCTTACCCCAGACGACTGCAGCACCGTGTCACTTCCTTCTCCTTTTCACTGAAGGGCGGTGACACAGCCCCACAGCTTGAGGGCTTGCAGTAGGGGTGGGGCCCTTCCTGTGCTTGAACCTGCCCAGGCCCTCAGGCTGCCTCCTGCCCTCAAGTACATTCTTGTGATAGGAGTAGGTGTTGGGGGCTTAGTCAGGGCCTTAGATGTTCAACCAGTGAGCCTCATAGAAGCAGTAAGTTTTTCTTTTTTGGTTTTCCAAGACAGGGTTTCTCTGTGGCTTTGGATCCTGTCCTGGAACTCACTCTAGAGTGTAGATCAGGCTGGCCTCGAACTCACAGAGATCTGCCTGCCTCTGCCTCCTGAGTGCTGGGAATAAAGGCGTGCACCACCCACACCAGACTTCCTGAAAGTATTTTGTGTTGTTTACCTTCTGTCTTGAAGAACTTCATGCAGGATGGAATGTTCTAGTCTCAGAAGGAACTGCTGCAGCACTCCATCTCCGCTTCTGAGCGAACGAGGAGGCAGAGCACACACAGGCACACGTGTGTGCACACATTGCATGCATGCACACACATACACAGGCATCACATGCACGCTGTCTCTCTCACACACACACTCTCATACACACACACACATGCATCTCATGCATTCTCACATACACATGGGATTTTTATTTATTTGTTTGCTTTGTTTTTTTGAGACAGGCTTTCTCTGTGTAGCCCTGGCCGTTGTGTAACTTGCTCTAGCTCAGTCTGGCCTCAAATTTACAGAAATCTACCTACTTCTTCCTCCCAAGCCTGGCTTATTTATTTATTTTAGGACACAGTTCCGGCCGTCCTGGAATTCACTTTGTAGACCAGACTGGCCTCAAAGGGAAGAGCTCTGCCTGCCTCTGGCTTCTGGACGGTGGGGCTAACGCGCTGCTTGTTTTGCAGTGCTGTGGAGGAGCGCAGGGTCTTTCTCCAGGCAGGTGCCCTGGTCAGGAGGCTGAGGGGAAGTTGGGGGCACGTTAGATGTTAGCTTTTTTGTTTTGTGTTGTTTTTCGAGACAGGGTTTCTCTGTATTGTTTTGGAGGCTGTCCTGGAACTCCCACTGTAGACCAGGCTGGCCTCGAACTCACAGAGATAGATCCGCCTGCCTCTGCCTCCCGAGTGTTGGGATTAAAGGTGTGTGCTACCAATGCCCAGCTAGATGTTATCATGTTACAACCAGTTCCTCTTGAGGTATTAACCCTGTCCCAGAGATCTGCAAACATACACCCCACAAATGACACTGAGCCCAGGGAGTTGATGGACCCTTGAGGGTCAGGTTCTCAGTTCTGGGGGCCTTGAAGGTGGTTAGTTGTGTCCAGGGACATTGGTGAAGCTACTTGATCCCCGAGAAGGAATCTCCACATGGGGCTGTGCACAAGCCAGCGCTGCCCCTGTGGGTGCTCTGTTAGCTGGGAAGGGGATGACAGCCCACGCCTATGTTTAGCGGCCTGCATTGGTGCTGCTGCTCAGGGCTGGAGCTGCAGTCCCTGTGTGGTACAAAGGGTGTTGGAGAGCACTGTCCATGGCGAGAGCAGTGTCTAGGGTCTGGGTGGTGATAGCATGGGAGTGTGGAGGATGAGGAGAACTTGACAGAGCACCAGACTCCCCCCAGAGAACAGCATGGTCTATGGAGTATTCTTGGTTGGTTGGGTTTTTTTTGTGTGTGTGTGTGTGTTTGTTTTTTGTTTTTTGTTTTTTTTGTTTTTTTTTTTGAGGCAGGGTTTCTCTGTGGCTTTGGAGGCTGGCCTGGAACTCGCTCTGTAGACCCGGCTGGCCTCAGTCACAGAGATCATCCTGCCTCCCGAGTGCTGGGATTAAAGGCGTGCCCCGCCACCACCTGGCTTTGGGAGTAGATTCTAACTTCAGAGAGGGCAATGTGGCCCTGGCCCTCAGTGGGGCAGCTGGTGGAATGGTGCCAACCTTCACTGGTGTGTGTGCTCATTTGCGTATGTGCTAGCTACTGGCCTTGTCTCTGTTAGCTGGGCATAGCTGTCCGTCCGGGGAGCCCGTGGCCTCACACGTGGCCTCTGCCTGGCACTTCCTTCAGTGGCCATGCTGTGCACAGCACAGGAGACTGTTCAGGTGGGCTGCCTCTGTGGAGCACAGCTGTCGGTTGATTGAGCTCAGGTGTGCTGGACATGGCATCTGCCTCAGCTCCCACGTTCCTAGTGGGCTTCGAGTCCTGCCTTTGTAACAGTCCCTGCTGTGACATGTGGGGACACCAGGGTGAGAGCCTTGATTGTAAAGCCAGTGAGTGCCTGGGACTCAGTGTGCAAGTGGAGAGCTGGTAGGGTTTGAGGTTGGGCCCTGCTGGTGGCTTCCCAAGAACCCCAAGACTGGGTGCTGTGGTTCCCTAACCCAGTGGGTACCCATGGGTGGCTCAAAACACTCTCTTCTGGTTGTGCGTCCAGCCTGTGTGGTTTGTCTTTCATGTTTGGCCTCTGGGGACAGAAAATGAACTAAGACTGAGCCCCAAGGCCTGTTGTACCCACCGTGTTGAGGATGGGCGATTATGGTGTCCTGCTGGCCCCAGCATATTCCCATCAGGCTTGGAACACAGAACAGCTCCATAAATTCAGTGTGCCCAGTCTGGGTGGGCACTGTTGACTTTAGACCCTGGGTGACAGCATGGCTCTCAGACTGAAATGCCTCTTCCCCTGCAGCCTGCTCCCCAGGCTCACCCTCCACACCAACCCGTGAACAGGCCAGGAGGAGGACGGCTCAGAGCGTGAGATGGGCCCCAGCGGCTGTGCGCAGGGAAAGTTGTAGAAGAAGCGGGACCTGGGAGGTGAAGGCAGGCTAGGGAAGGATCTTCTCCCCAACTGAGCGTGTCGGTGAGGACGCAGAGCACACGGTGGCACGGAAGCCAGCCTCACGGGGAATGTGCACCGTCTGGTTCCACAGTGTTCCACCACCTCAAAGGCAGCCCTCAAGAGCCGTGCACCCAACCATACCCCGGGCCCAGCGAACCCTGTCTCTGGATTCACTTGTTCTAGATGTTTCCTATCATGAAGGACTACACTGTGTGGCCTTTTGTGCCTGGATCTCTGGCTGGGTGTGATTGCTAAGTGTCAGAGCCTTGTTGCTCTTCACACTGGTGGTGGCCATGTTGCCTGTGTCTGTGTCCACCCTGGCCTGTGCCTTTTGGTTGCTAGGAGCGTTCCGTGTGTGAGGCTGTACATGTACAGGGTGGGTGTTGGGCATGCACTTGGTGGTGGAGCTCCTGGTGTTGGGGTGCTGTGTTACCATCTATACATCAGCCCTGAGCTAAGGAAAGCCTCTAGGACTGGCTAGCAGCGCCATCAACCTGTTGGACAGTGGCTCTCATGTGGGACCAGTGTCTTCCTTGCCACACCTTGGTGGCTGTCCACGCTGCTGTCAGTCTCTGGACTGTCCTTCAGCCCAGCTGGGGACATGTGTCCAGGGTCGTGAGGGAGAAGTGCTTGGGAGAAAGCCCACTGCCCTGGCGTCTGCAGCTCCAGGCTTGCCTTGTGCTGAGCGTGTGCCACTTGACATGACGCTTTGCAATCCCAGTGTCCCTGGTTGGGAGCCAGGTGTCACAGGCAAGCAGGAGGTGTGACGCCGCCTTCCCGTGTTCACTGTGCTCTCAGATGGGCAGCCTCACGGCAGGCAGGGTCGGCTGAGCAGTGTCCTCTGTTACAGGGAGATCCAGCTGCTGCGGCGGCTGCGGCACCGGAATGTGATTCAGCTGGTGGACGTGCTGTACAATGAGGAGAAGCAGAAGATATATCCTGTGGGGTGGAGGGAGTGGGGGCCCTGTGTAGCAGGGAGTGGAACCCTCTGCAGCCAGAGCCTCTGCTGCAGCTCAGTTCTGCCTCTTGTCCTGGCAGACAGGGTAAGCAGGACATGGAGCTTCCAACTTGTGCCAGCCTGGTCTGGCCACTGGCTAGCCCTGGGCACAGTCTGGGGCACCTGGAGCCCACATGCATTGTCAGTGCCTCTGTTCTAGTAGTTTCCCTTGCTTCCCCTTCCCAGGGGCAGAGCTTGCAGAGCGTGCTCTGCATCTGGGCAGTCCTGGGAGCCCATGGAGCGCCCAGTGCCTTGTACTTGGCTGCAGCCCCCACTTCTAGCTCCCCTTCCACCCTGGTGGGGCGAGGAGACAGACCCACTTCCGGTCCCATTGTGTCCTACGCTGACTCCATGTGGGCCAGGGCAGTGCAGTGACCCTGTGTGCCCTGCAAGTCCAGAGATGAGCGTGGTAGCAGTCTACTGGCCCAGTGGGGCCCTGCACCCTCAGCAGTGTCTTCACTGCCTCAGTTTCCCTCGGGTTTCAGGGCGTTCCAGAGCACTTGCTTGGAGCAGGGTTCCCAGGGCCTGGCGTGAGCTGCTTTCCTTAGCGCCCTACGTATATGGTGATGGAGTACTGCGTGTGTGGCATGCAGGAGATGTTGGACAGTGTGCCAGAGAAGCGCTTCCCGGTGTGCCAGGCCCATGGGTGAGTGCCCTGCTGGGTGCAGGAGGAGCACATAGCACTTTCTGTGGCTCATGACAGCCACTGTCAGGAAAACCCACATGTTCCTGGGACCCCAATTCTCGGCCCAGCCAATGTGCTTGGGAGTCACTCACTCTCCTGTGGGCCCACTGCCCGGCAGGCAGAGTTTAACTCTGAAACCTGGCCAACTCTCCCAGTCTCAGCAGTCACAGTCCGGGTTGACACAGAACCACGGAGAGGGGAAGAGGTCAAGCCAGAGGGAGACTTGGCACCCTGGGCCTAGGCACAGTGACTGTAGTTGCCCTTGTGATTCACAGTGGGCTCTGGCCTTCTGACTCATGTCTGTCCACCTGAACTCCACACATCTGTCCCCTTGTGGGCCAGGCCTTGTGACTCTCCCAAATTGCAAAGCAGGTGTGTGTAGGCACCATGGTATGGGCTGAGACCCTGTGGGGCCTGAGCTGGTCCCGCCCATTCAGGTACTTCTGCCAGCTGATTGACGGCCTGGAGTACCTACACAGCCAGGGTATTGTGCACAAGGACATCAAGCCGGGCAACCTGCTGCTCACCACCAACGGCACGCTCAAGATCTCCGACCTGGGTGTTGCCGAGGTAGGCACCGTGTGCAGGGCTCTGGGCCACTTCTCCTGAGCACCCCTGACTCTCACTGCCCTGCAGGCCTTGCACCCTTTTGCTGTGGACGACACCTGCCGGACCAGCCAGGGCTCCCCAGCCTTCCAGCCCCCTGAGATCGCCAACGGACTCGACACCTTCTCAGGCTTCAAGGTGGACATCTGGTCAGCTGGGGTCACACTGTAAGTGTCCTGGACCCTGCAGCAGATGGGGAACTGTGGTTTGCTTTAGTGTCCTCTATCCACAGGGTGTGACCAGCAGGTTGGACATCCCCATTTGTGGGTGTAGTTCCCCTCCACATAGGTTCACAGGGCAGCGCCACATGGAGGGTGCTGGTACATGGCCGCATCCCTGCCAGTTGACATTTGTGCTTTCTGGGACTTGGGCTGTGGCCAGCACTGACACTGTCCTCCTCTGTGAAGCTACAACATCACCACAGGCCTGTACCCGTTCGAGGGAGACAATATCTACAAGCTGTTTGAGAACATCGGGAGAGGGGACTTCACCATCCCCTGTGACTGCGGCCCACCACTTTCTGACCTGCTCCGAGGTGGGCATCTTCCTGGTGGCTTGTGGGTCACCTTGCATGCCAGGACAACTATGGACAAAGCCCCTGATCTGTGGAGAGGTTCTGAGTCAGTGCGACTCTCCTGCAGTCCCTAGGTGGCCAGAGGTGGCAGTGGGCAGGACCAGTGGCCTGGCTTGACAATAGAGCAGCCCCTGTCAACTGGCAGGGGAGGTCTCTGGGTGCAGTTTCCTTGGTGCCTGTGCCGATAACGCAGGGTTGTGTGTCCTGGGCTCTGCACCAGGTGGCACTGGTGTCAGCTTTGATGTCCTCATCCAGGGTGGGGGTCTCAGTGCCCAGGCTGCCTGTTGCTGTCTCTCTGGGGCCTAGGAAGGCCATCTGGGTGGATATGGGGGGGCTGTGGCAAAGAGAAGGCGGGCACCTGCTACACTGACTGTTGTGTTACACAGGAATGTTGGAGTACGAGCCAGCCAAGAGGTTCTCCATTCGACAGATCAGGCAGCACAGGTGAGCGCTGCCCTTGCAGACGCACGGGAGTGAGGGTGTGTGCATGCCTTGGCTGCTGGCCTGGAGAGCTGCTGTGTGAGCTTGGGGCATAAGGGATGCTGGCCCTTCCTCCCTCCTAGTGCCAGTCCAGGCGTGGCTCAGAGCCTTCCAGCGCTGTCCTGCCCCAGACTTGCCTCCCTCTGCTGCCCTGTCAAGGGTTCAGGCAGCTGTGTGGCTGAGAAGCTGGGGCTTCGGGGGCCGGGGTTTGAGGCAGTTCCTCCGTGGTGGGAGGGTGTGGCAGGAGTAGTTGGGAAGAGCACAAAAGCCCTTGTCAGGCCTCAAGGAGGGGCCGCGCTGGACCCCAGCTGGCTCTTGACCTAGTGGAGCCTGCCCGTCTGGGCGGTCACTGGGAAGCGGGAGGCACCCAGCGAGGGTCGCAGCCTTTGGAGGCACTGGAGCTCCGTCCTGTCCCTTATTCACTCAGCTGCGGGAGTCCTGGGTCCACGGCGGCCTGTGATCTCTGCCTGTTGTCCTGAGCTCTGTGCTGGGCAGGCTTGTCAGGGTGTTCCCCAGGGAAGGCTTCCAGCCTGTTTCTATGAGATGGGTGGAACTCGGTAGGGGGCCCTGACTGCTCATGTTGGTCCTAGGACCAGTGTTGCCAGCGGTGGGCAGTGGCTTCTGGGGTGTTAGTCTGAATGCACGTGGCAGGGCCTGGACCCTGTTGCTGAGACCTCAAACCCATAGCCTAAGTGCTGAGGCCCTGCCCTCCACAAGGGCAGCTGTGGGATGTTTGGGCTGTGGTAGATCTTGTCCTGTATGAGTGGCCAGCTGTGTCCCTGGACACCCAACACCTGATGGCTCTCCTGCACCTGGGCATTCACAGCTGGTTCCGGAAGAAACACCCACTGTCTGAAGCACTAGTGCCCATCCCGCCGAGCCCAGACACTAAGGACCGCTGGCGCAGTATGACAGTGGTCCCCTACCTGGAGGACCTGCATGGCCGTGCGGATGCGGATGCGGATGCGGATGAGGACTTGTTTGACATTGATGATGGCATCATCTACACCCAGGACTTCACAGTGCCTGGTGAGCTGGCTCGGTTTGGGTCGCCCTGGAGCTGGTGCCTCTGTGCTCTCTGGGGCCGGTCCTGTCCCCAAGGCTCCACTCTGATGAGCCACCAAGCTGCCAAAGCCATCCTGCTGGCTGTGGCAGTCTCTGAGCTAGCTGGAGGGCAGTGGGCAGGGGCCCTGACACAGCAGCCACACGAGGGAGGGTCCAGTGGCCCTCAGTCCTGGCCAGGCCTGACGTATGTCGCCTTCTTCCCCAGGTGTCGAGGAGGAGGCGGCCGAGGCAGGGCTTAGCGAGGATGCATGGGGCCCATGCATGTGGAAGAACCAGGGCGCAGGCCTTCCTGGAGACGAGCCCGAGGAGGGCTCCAGGCCTTAGTGTAGCTCCCTGGCTGCTGCCCCACCCATGCCCTCCATAAAGCTTTGTCCACTGTGTCTGCAGGTGGATGCTTGCTGCGACTGCCCTCCCCTGTCTACCCTGGCAGGGCTCCTCCAGGGTACCCAACAGCACACCCGGGTCCAAGGCCTGAGTCAGGCCTTCAGTGCCAAGGTTACCACTGGCTAGGGCTCTCGGGCCTTGTCTGTGTGCCCCTCAGGCAGGCCCTACTGCTAGGCAGCTCCTGGCCCTTCAGAGGGGGCGGGGTGAGGCCCCTAGTGTCCCTGTAGCAATTGAGGGTTCTGGAAGCAGTGTCTGCTGGGTGCCAGCTAGGACCCTAATGTCCAGTACGGGCCCTGGGCAGTCCTCAAGGTTCAGTCCTCCTAATAGTGTCTTTTGCTCAGCAGTGAGGGCCCTGTCACCTGGAGCCCTTGGCTGGGATGTGCCACAGGCTGGACTCTCAGCTGGGGGCTAGCACCTGGCAGGGCCTCCATTTTGGGCCCCTTGGTGGGGGAGAGGTGCACTTAGGACACTGCACCGCACCTTGGGGACCCTCGGGGCTGCAGTGGTTTGAAGGAAGGCAAGGCCACAGGGAGGGGTCTGGGGACATTGCCTTGTGTCTGGGTGGCCGTGGGGCCCATGTATCACCTGGGCTAGTGCTGTATAGTGGCATCCTGTGCACCTGGCGTGCAGACTGTGCTCTGCAACAATAGGACAAAGGCATCTTCTACCCACCTACCCACCCTGTGCCTGGTGGGGAGCTGGGGGCACTTCCTACTTACTACAGGGTCCACCTAACCTCATGCCCCAGGGTCCAGCCAGCCCAGAGTGAAGGGCACCGTGGGTGCTACCAGTCTGGGCCAAATCAGAGGTTTGGGAGAGGGACTCTGCATCCAAGAGCACAGGCAGGGGACCTCTGTTGGGTTCCCATAGCCACATCTCAAGCATCTGGTCGCTATGTAGTTACATGCTAGAGACTGCCTACTTCCTGAGGAGCTTCGGGAGAGGCGCCCTGTCCCCACCGTGAAGGCAGGCCAGCAGAGCAAGCTAGGCTAGCAGCCCCAGGCTGAGTGCGTCATCTCCATGGGCCTCTTGTGGGTCTAGAGCCTGGCTCACTTGGAGAGACAGCTCTGTGAGCTGGTGCTTGGGCTGCCCATGCTAGACAGGCAGGTGAGCACGGGCATGCGGCAGGGGGGCCAGGGCAGACCACTGGAGCCCTGAGGGGCGAAGCTGGAGGCTAGAAGGCCTAGCCTGACCAGCCTCTGGCGCAGTGGGGGCTGGCTGGGCCCTGGGGTTTGGGATGCCTGTCCCGTGGCTCAATCCATGCCTGACCTCTTCCCGCAGGACAGGTCCTGGAAGAGGAAGTGGGTCAAAATGGACAGAGCCGCAGCCTGCCCAAAGCTGTGTGTGTCAATGGCACAGAGCCCCAGCTCAGCAGCAAGGTGAAGCCGGAAGGCCGGTCCGGCACCGCCAACCCTGCTCGCAAGGCATGCTCCAGCAACAAGATCCGCCGGCTCTCAGCCTGCAAGCAGCAGTGACTGCAGCGTGCAGGTGGGCGCAGTGGGTGTCTGCTGTGCTCCTTCCCTGGGGACAAGGCTCCGCTGGCTGCCTGGGGTGAGGTCTGGTGACAGGCCGCAGCCCTTACCGATCATGGTTGTGTGAAGGGTCTGCCCCTCGGGGTGGCATGTACCTCCCTGCAGGGGCCAGATGCCGAGTGAGCCCTTCTGTCTCCAGTCTGCCACCCGGACCCCCGAGCAGGTGCCTCAGCAAGGCTGCGGTTCTTGGGCCCACCCATCTGACACTCGGACGTTGGAGCCGAGGGCGGAGTCCGCCCCAGAAGCACTTTATGTCGAGACCACTGGCCGGCCTCGCCCGCATGCCGCCCCGCGAGCCTTGCTGCCTTTGGGTTGGTTCATTTTTTTTAATAAAACAGGTGGATTTGAGCCGTGGCTATGAGAGTGTTTGGAAATGTGGAGCAGGCGGGGCGCATGGTGACCTGCAGAAAAGACCCAGAGCGAGCGAATATGCAGAGACATTTATGATCAACCAGACAACACAACTACCCACAGAGGGCAGGGAGTGGGCGGGCACTCACAGCGAGGCCGCCCTATATTTTGGCAATAAATAAAGCTTGGGAAACTTGAAGCTGCCGCCTGGGCCATTCTGTCCGCGTGTTCAAAGCCCAAGGCTTGGGGAGCAGTGGGGCGGGGCGGGGCCTGTGCACATGCTGAGAGCAGGGTGATTATTGCTCGGAGAGGGAGGGTACGGTGCTGTACGGCTGCTGCCAGAGCGCACACCACGAGGTAAACGGATTCAGGGTTTGGCACAGCTAGCTTCTCTCTGATCCTCAGTGCCCCAAGGTCCCTTCCCCGCCAGTAGGTTCACGCATGCGTGTGGCAGGCAATGGCACCACCAGCACGTGCTCACAAATGGAGGTCTGCTGGTCCCGGAGGGAGGCTGCGCATGCTCTTCAGAACAACCTGTTCCGCCCGCTTCTGTGGCCAGAGGCTGGGTACCATGGTCGGTCAACTGAGGACTGGAGAGTCCCAACTCTTTCATCCCCCCTGCAGCTGAGCCAGGGTCCTGGGGCCTCGGGAGGCCACTGCTACCCGCAGAGTGCCCGATGGGACACTGCCACGTGCAGTTGGGACTGGGCTGTGCGCGCATGCACGGCAACCGCAGGTGTCTCCCGCTGTCGCCGCCATCCCCGCGGCCCCCACGTGCCTCCGGAGGAGCTGCCGAGGGGCGAGTGGAGTTCAGAGCTTAGGCCGGGCTGTGGTCGGGGGACGTGGGGGCAGCAGCAGCGACAATCAGCACCGGGGATGCGGCGACGGGCTCAGCGAGACGGGGCGGGAAGAGTCTCTCGTCGAGGCTGGCCGCCAGCTTGTCCAGCAGCGCCCCGGCGGGCTCGACGCACAGCCCAGAGCCTGGGCAACTACCGCCTCCGCTGCCCGGCTCCTCCTCGATGACAGGAATGGACGGGTCCTCGCCCGTGGTGGGCAGTGCACGGCCTTCGGGGGGACAATCTACGCTGTCGCCGCGGCGCAAGGGCGCCCGGACGGGGCGGGCCGCCCCGGGGGGCGTGGCCGCGCGTGCGCCACCGGGATCGCTGTGCTGCCGGCCTCTCTGTTGCCACTGTTTCCGCGCATGAGCGTGAGGGTGCGCACGTGCGCGGTGGCGTGGCGCGTCGTCGAAATGCGGGTCATGGCGCAGGAACTCGTGGAAAAGCGCGTCCGTCTTCTCGTCTATGCTGTAGTCGCGGCGCGGCCTGCGTGGCCAGGCTCGCGGGCTGCGGGGAGGGCTGCGGGCTGGAGCGGGCAGTTCGGAGGCGTCGTCGCCCGCACCGCGGCCCTCGATGCTCGCATACCCACTGTCCATCTGCAGCAGGCGGCGGGCCTCGCCGTCCTTATGCCGCAGGGCAGGAGGAGACTCGGGTGGGGGCGGGAAGGCGGGTGCTACGCCGCCGCCCCCGGAGCCTGAGCCGGAGCTGTCGCCGCTGCGCACGGAGTCGCGGTCATTACCGCTGCTGCTGTGGTCCGATGCAGTGGCCGCGTGGAGCTCGAGCGAAGCACGAAGGCTCCACAGGTCGCGGTAGCTGCACTGTGCATGCTCGACGTCCTGCTCTTGCTGCGGGTCCTGCTGCTGCGCATGCTCGGGCCCCAAACTGATGCTGTGCTCCGGGGGGAGTCTCGGGGCTTGCTCCTCCCGCCGCCTCGGCTGCCTCTAGCCTGCAAGGCCAGGCCCACGTGGTCAGGGCCTGCGGGCCTTGCCCTGCCCTGCCGGCCACACGTTTGTGCTTTAGGGATTATGGACATGGAGGGGCCCCGTGGAGCCTGGGCCATTCCTAGATACATTCTCTTGACGTGCAAGGGACTGAAGGGAATGGACCTGAAGTAGGCTCCCGGTTGGCCTCTTGCTCTAGATGGTTACCTCACCTACTGGTCATGGGCCAGGTGTATTCACAGAAGCCAAGGGTCACCCCAAGTGTGTCCTAGTGGTTTGAGCATGTGGGAATTTTGCTTTGGGGCTGCAGGGGGCGGGGGGGGGGCTTCCGATAGAACAGTCACCAAGGCTTCTGTGAGGGGTGGTCAGGCCACACGTCAGGAGTGCAGGTAGGCAGAAGGGTCGCTGGGACCACTGAGGAGCCTTTCCGGCCTCGGAGTCTGCCACAAATTGGCAGGCCCAGGGTAGGCCCAAGCCCACTACCCTGCTCCGGTGGGGGTCCCATCCTGGAGACCTTGGAGCCATCATCTGCCCACCTGCCCTTACCCGGTCTCTCCCTGCTTCCCTCCTCCTCCTCCGGTCTGCGCTGGAGGGCTGGCCCCCATGAAGTGGCCAGGGTGACTCCAGTTCGTGTCCACAGGGCCAGGAGGGCGGTCCCCGGGCCACCTAGGGGGGGACGGGGCAGGGCAGGGGCCCACAGGCCCACCCTTAACACCCCTATCTACTGAAAAATACCTGCCGAGAGTGGGGGGCGGGCTGCTGGGGCTGGCCAGAAAGGGGCGGGGGGGTGGGAAGGCCACCGAGTCGCCTGCGCTGGCAATGTACTGAATGAAGTCGGCCTGGGGGGCGTCCCCCTCTTGCTCCGTGCTCTCGCTGGCTGCCCGCTGCCGCTGAAAGTGGTGCCGCTTAGGGGAACCTGTGGGGGAGGCGCCGGTCAGTTGAGAAAGTGAGCATAGGGCACGGGGAAGGGGCACGTCCCTGGCCGCACAGGTGTGACCGAGAGCGGGGACACGCGGTGGCTAACAGGCCCGGCTCCTGGGGAAGCGCGAGGCGCGGGGAGCTGGGGTGACTAGGGAAGGAGGGCGCCACCTGCAGGCTGCTCCCTAGCCTGGGAGGCTTGGGGGAACCACCCCGTCCCCGCCCCGCTCCTGGCCAGTGGCCAGGACCTTCCCCAAACACAACGGCCAGTGGGCAGGCCTCCAGGTGCGGTGGGAGCCACCCGCAAAACAGGTTCTGGGCCTCCACCGCCTGTCGAGTTAGCGCCGGGAATCGTGACTCCGTCTGCGAACCCAGGTCCTCCTCCCACAGCAGCCCCCAGAAAGGGAGGGTGTGAGCCCTCTGCCGTCCAGACCCTCCCACCCCTCTCCCACAGGGGAGCCAGTGAGCAACCCTGAACGCTGGGACAGCAGGCTGGCCGTTTTTTGTAAATAGCTTTACTGGCACAATCTGTGCTCATTTGCATATGAAAGTCACTTCTTACAGCAGAAGTTGAGGTGGGGCAGACAGTGCGGCCACAGAAGCCCAAATTGTACTGTCCAGGGCAGAAGTACCTGGGGCTTAGCAGGGTGTGGCCTGTGCCTGTAATCCCCACACTCAAGAGTTCAAGACCTACCTGGACACACAGTGAGGACTCAAACCAACAGGCCTCCATAGGACCTAGAACTAACCCAATGCTCCCCTTTCCTTTCCTTATTTTTTGTTTTTGAGACAAGCTCTCAGTAGCCACGTAGCCAAGGCTAGCCCCAAACCTACTACATAGCTGAGGCTGGCTTTGAACCCTTGACCTCCTGAGTGTTGGGACATGCACACTATGTTTATATGGCACTGGGAATGCAAGCCAGGGCCTCGCACACACGAGAGAGGAGCTCTACCCGTGACTGGTTCTGGGAAGCCAAAGCCTATACAGGTGAAAGGACCTGGTGGGGAGGTCGGGGGAAGCTGGGGGCCTCTGACATGGCGACGGGTGAAGCGTGCAGATGAGCACCAGCTATGGGCTGTCATTTGCCTAGGAGACACAGCACACTGCCGTGACAGCCTTCCTGGAGACGTGCAGGCCTGGGACTTGCGTTAAGATGGCCCTGGCAGTCACGCTCACTCTGGAGTCTCACCTCTTGTGTCCAGACTGGATGCTCTCTGACTGGGTTCCAGCTTCCATTTCTTGACTTTGAAGTAGGGGCTGGCCCCATCCAGGCTGGCGTGGCGGCGTAGCCGTGTGAAGAACTGTAGCACAGTGCCCGGCCCGGAAGAGCCTGTGCCCGTCTCCCCAGGTCCTGCCTCAGGCCCGGCAGCCTTGGCACCCCGGACACCTGCATCTAACTGGGGGGGCGTGGGGGAGCGCGGGTGATTGTCAGGTACACGCTGGGTCCCCGCTAAGTAAGCCTGTGGTCACCCTTCAACGGCCTCCTCTCCGGGGCCGGGTCTGCCCGCCCTCCTGGACCCTGTCTGTCTGTCTGTCCAGGGGAAGCACCCTGCCTAGCAGCTCTCCTCCCTGGGCCACCAGCCTGGCTCTTACAGGGAACCTCAGGGTACCATATCCTGACTCTGAAGAGAAGGCATCTCCATCTTGGGACACTGTGGGGAGAACACAGGGAGCCCTCACCGAGGTGCCCTCCCCAGAGTCGCTGGAGGCAGATGGGCTGATCTCCGAGAAGTCCACAGAGTTGTAGGGGTCGCCTGGCAGGGCGGAGCTAGGGCCCACTGATCGGCCGGCGAGGGCCTTCCCGGGGGGCTGCGGGACAGAGGGGGTGGGGGAGGACAAGTAGGTGGGGGGGAAGTCCCGCCCCCACCCCAGCCAGCCGGGACCCGATGCCTACTTGAACCCTTTGTACCCACCGCACTCAGCGAAGGACCAGGGCTGGCTGCAACATCCGCCTCACCTGGAAAATGGCCAAGCTGTCTTTGGGGGTGGTAGCTGGGTGGGGTGAGGCCACGGAGCTGGCCTCGCCTGGGTCACACTCATGGATAGTAGCGATCTTGAGGGGCGGCAGGTGGAGGTGGCTGAGGCGTGCATTCTTTAGGTGATGGAAGTCCCCCTCCGTCAGCGTGTACCTATGGCGGGGCCCGGCCGGCAGTCAGCTCTCAGCATTCCCTAGCACAGCACCTATTTTGCCATCTACGGCTGTTCGAGGGCGGCTGAACCTCTGTGTCTCTGTGCCTCCGTCTATCAAGTGCTGGAACAACCCCGTTTTTTGTTTGTTTGTAAGACTGGCTCTCTCTACGCGGGGCAGGCTGGTCTTGCACTCGGAGAGCCTGCCTGCCTGCCTCCGGCCGCAGCGATCCCAATTTTGGTTTTGTGAGGTCTCACTCTAGCCCGGGGCGGCTTGAGCTTTGCAGTCACCTTCCTGCCTCTGCCAGTGCGAGCCTTGGCGCCGCGTCGCCATGCCCGGCGCTTCCTTTCTACAGGCTGGCCCTGAAATGCGCCCTAGCGGGCCTGGTAAGAGCCTGGCAGTCAGGCCTCGGATTTGTACGGATCAGAACTGGAGAGATGGCTCCGCGCTAAGCGCACTTAGTGCTCGCGCAGAGGACCCGAGTCGGGTTTCCAGGGCCCATGTCGGGCATTCAGAACTACCTGGGATTCTGCTCCAGAGAGATCTGTCGCCCTCTTCTGGCCCGTGTACACCCACGTGTAATACACACACACACAGAAACACAAACAAGCATGTAAAAATAACTCTGGTAATTCTCCTGCCTCGGTGTGCTGGTATCCAACACTTGAGCCGCAGAGCTTGTACCTTAGCACGGATACTTACTGTCCACCATCCACCCTGCCAGCCCATACCAAGAGACCCGAGCCAGGGTGCCCCGCTTTCCGCACAAGCGGCCGTGACCTCCCCCCGGGCCTCCCTCACCGGCGGCCCTTGTCCTGAGCCTTGCGGCTCTGTTCAAACAGGGCGGCCTCATTGAAGGACACGCGGCGGCCGGTGGAACTGGTGGCTAGGAAGCGCTCCGTGTCCGTGTCCTGGCTCTCGGGGTCTTCCCCCCTGCAGTCGGGGTCTGCGAGGAGAGTCAAGAGAGGGTGGGCCCCGGGTGGGCCGCGCGTGTCTCGCTGCCAGCCAGGCCGCTGGGCAGGGGCGGGCCGGGAGGGGGGGCGCGGGCCGAGTGAGGGCAGGACGGGGCGGGCTGGGCGGGGCGGCGGGCACTCGCTCATCCGCTCACACACTCACTCGCTCTCAGCACGCGCCTGTGCGCACCTACGCCTGGGCGTTAAGGAAACAGAGATGAGTCGGACTCGAACTGCGCCCAGTCTGGTGGGGGAGACAGACAGACAGACCGTCAGGCGGCCCGAGGGGGCGGGCAAGGGGGCCGAGGGGCGGGGCGCGGCGGGAAGCACAGTCAAGTGCAGCGAGGGGCGCTGCGGGCCACGCGGGCCCCTCACCTTGTATGGGGTGGGTGCCGTTGTCCAGGTAGGTGGTGGTGGTCTTCTCGGCTTCCTCCATGGCCCTGGGGACGGAAGGGGACGGGTGAGCAGGGCCGGGGCCCCCACCGGTGAGGCTCTGCGGGCACGCCTGGGCGTGTCAGCACGGGGTTTCCACGGCGTGCACCTGTTGAAGCGCTGGTGCACCTCCCAGCACCGTTTGCAGAGCAGAAGGACGCCAGACAGAACCACCAGGGTGCCCCCGATGAACAGTGACATCACCACCACCAGCAGCACATAGTTGTCCAAGATGGGGTCGGGCTCCGCCTGGGGGGGCGGTGCATGGGGCGAGGCGTGTCAGGGCTCCGCTGCAGGGTGGGCTTCCCATGCCATCCCACCCCCCGACCTCCAGGAGTCGCGCACCCACCGTGGGGCGGCTGGTAGTATTGTCCCACGCAGTGGTCAGGGCAGCCGTGGCGGCGGCGGTGGCCTCAGTAACCATGGCGGCCGTGGGCTGCATCTTGAGGCTACAGGTGGGGCACAGAGCCAGCTCAGGTTCAGCTCCGCCAGCCCCTCCCCACGGGAGCCCCTGCAAGCCGGCCCCCATCATCCCCGTGCAGCAGCAGCCGCTGCCGTCACTGGGGTGACTCATGGGCAGGTGGGGCCGAGTCTTGCTATGTGTGCCACCCCCACGCCCCCCCCAGGGCGTCTGGAGCCAGGGCTTTTTTCCCAGGACCTCTCTTTCGCCATCTTTATCACACAGCAAGTGGCACGGCGCGTGCGCGGCAGTGTGAGAGAGAGAGTGTGTGTGCGTGTGTCTGGGTGCAAGCGGCTCTCCCACATCTCTGTCATGTCTCCCTGGCTGGCCGGGGTGGCCGGCCCAGCAAGGTAGCGCCGCTGCCGTGCCCAGGCAAGGGAGAGCACCCTCGGAGGAAGGGGACACGAAGCCCCCGCAGGTTTCTTCATGTCCCAGGGTCCCATGGGACACCTGAGGCGTGGGAGGGGCTGCACCAGTGACCCCCCCCCATACACACACACACCCAAGTCACGACTCCAGAGGGAAGGCCCCCGTGCCCCGCAATGGTGGGAGGGGAAAGGACAAAAGATGCTCGTCTGTTCCTGGCCTGAAAAATCTGGTTCCCATGGCGACGGCGCGCAGGGCCGCGTCGGGGGGGGCGGGTTGCCAGGCAGTGGGAGGCGAGCGGGGGCGCGGGGGAGGCCGCTCGCTCGCAGGGGCGCCCCAGCCACGGCCAAGATGGCTGCTCCGCCAGGCCTCAGCCTGCAGCCTTGGGGAAACTGAGGCTAGGCCACGTTTCGGGGTGGGGGTGGGGAGCAACGTTCAGGAAGGGGCTGCTGCTGCACCTGACGCACTCGGGGGGGGGGGAGGAGGAGTATTCCGGGGTGTCAGGGAGAGCTCTGGCCAGTCACCCCTAGTTTCCCACGCCACCACCAATCCCGCAGAGAAAAGCCCGCAGCCTCCAGCGACGCCAGGGCGTTCGGCCTGGACGGCGAGGGAGTTGAGGGGAGACTGAGGCCCGGAATAGCACGAATGTGGCCCCGGGAACCTGCGCGTCCTCAGCGCTCCTGGGCATCAATTTCGGCGGGCGGCAAGGGGCGCGCATGTAGGTCGGGGGACGAGCTCAGGCGGGAGGGGGTGGGGCACGGTGACGGGAGTGACGGGAAGATGGCTGAGACCCAAAGCGAGGAAGGCGGGGGGGGTCATGAGGGCCGGCGACCACGCCAGCCTAGACAAGGGACCCCCGCAGGACCCCCCATCAGGACAGGGTTCGAGAGAGAGCAGAAAACCCGATGCGGGTCCAGGAGGCCTAGGCGACATTGCCCTCGCCCAGTCACTAGGGTAAACTGAGGCCGAGGGTGGGAAGGGGAGGGATCCCTCTCCGGGCTGCGGACGGCGGGCGGGGTACAGGGCGCCTCGGGCCGTCCCCACGCCGCGCCCCCTCCCCGGGGCCACGCGCGATGGAGCACGGGGAGCAAGGGCGGGCCCGGGGGCCGGCCACCATGCCCGGGCCTCCCTCGCGCCTCGGCCCGCCCGTCCCCGCCCGGTCCCGTGCGCCAGGGCCCGCCGCGCCTACCTCAGCGCCGGGGCGTGCGGCCCATGGGCGGCGGGCGGGCGGGCGGCGGATGCACGGCGCTCCCGGATGGCTCTGGAGCTCGGCGGCCGCGGAGCCGGCGGGGAATTTATGAATGGGGAGCGCGGCGCGCGGAGGAGGCGCGCGCGAGAGGAGGGGCCGCGCACGTGACCGCGTTGGCGGCGCGCCCGCTCCGGCCCCTGGCTCGGTGCACCCGGTAGCCGCCCGGTCCCGCAGCCTGGCCGCCCCCGCCGCTCTCCCCGTCGCGTCTGGCTCGCCCGGAGCTGGCCACCGCCTCCCCTTCCCTTCCGGCGGGGGGCGGAGCCTGAGCTCCCCGCGCCCCCTCCCGCGGCCGCGCGGCCCCGCCCCCGGCCCCGCTGCACGACTCGGCTTACCTGGTGCCGCAGTGTCCCGGAACCAGTGCGGGGGCGCAGCCTGGGGACCTGGAGACTTGGGGACCCTAGGCTGTCTAGCTTCTCACCCGCCGCTCGGGTGCTCAGTCCCAGTCTGTAGATCCCCGTGGTCTACAAGCCATGAGGTGGAGGGACATTTTCTCCCGCACGCCGCCGCCTGTTTCCCCTAGGCTGCTCTTCTGCGGGTTCGTTTAAGGGTTCGGCCTACAGCCCAGATATCCAGTGCTGCCCCACACCTACTCAGAACTTGCACCCAAAACTGGTTTGATGGTGCACCAATGCATTTGAGAGATGAAGTGAAGCAGGACTGCAGAGCCTAACCTCAGACACACAGAATTCTAGGCCCGCTTGAGACGCAGGAGCACCAAGGGTGGCGCGATGCTTTGGCCGGCAAGGGTGCCTGCAGCCAAGCCCAAGTCCCTGTGTTCCAGACCGAGGGCCCGCGTGGGAAGAATGCCAGCTCCCACCAGTTGTCCTTCGATTTGCTGTCCCCTCGCCCAGTAACTAACTGTAATAAAAACGTTATCTTGTGTCCACAGACGTCTGTTACGGAATGACCCATCCTTTCCCTTGCAATCAATTATCTTTTCTTCCTGTTGGCGCTCGGGTTCCAACCCAGGATGCGTCCTATTCTAAGAGTCGATGCTCCCTACCTGCTCGTTCCCACAGTCAAGCCCCACAGTCAAGCAAGAGTCTTGTAGTCGGGCCTCCCGAACACCAGCCTTCTGTTTTCAGTGAAGGGGACTGACACCGAGATTCACTCAGTACCCCAGGCTGGCCTGCAAGGTGCTGTGCTGTGTACATAGATCAGGCTGGCTTCAAGCTTAGGTGTGTCACCACTTCCTAATTTTTGTAATACTAACTTTGTGTGTGTGTGTGCGCGCGCGCGCGCGCGCGTGAAAAGGACATCAGATATTCTTTTTTTTTTGTTTTTTGTTTTTTTTGTTTTTTTGTTTTTTTTGGTTTTTACGAGACAGGGTTTCTCTGTATTGTTTCAGAGGCTATCGGTCCAGCCTGGCCTCGAACGCACAGAGATCCACCTGCCTCTGCCTCCTGAGTGCTGGGATTAAAGGCGTGCGCCACCACCGCCCGGCGACATCAGATATTCTGACACTGCAGTGTGGGCAGTTGATAGCTGTCACGTGTGCACTAGGACTGGAACTCAAGCCCTCTGGAAGAGCAGTCCTCGCTATTAATGGTCAAGCCTCTCTCCAGCTCCCTGGCTTTAGTTTTTGTTGTTTTTCGAGACAGGGTTTCTATGTATTGTTTTGGAGGCTGTCCTGGAACTCGTTCTGTAGACCAGGCTGGTCTCGAACTCACAGAGATCTGCCTGCCTCTGCCTCCCGAGTGCTGGAATTAAAGGCTGCGCCAGCACCGCCAGGCCTGGCTTTAGTTTTTAAGAGATTCATCTGGTGAAGCACAGTGACCTAGTCCGTGGACGGAGAGGACGCGCTTGTCCTAGGTTTGGGCCCTTGCTTCGTGGAGCATTGGGCCCGGGATGGGATGCAACATGCGTGCAGAAAGCATCGGAGGGGTTTCCCGCTGCCCCTGCCCAGGGAAAGTGCCCAGGTTATAGGAACCGGGAACCCGACGTCTCTCATGACGCTTGATAAGGCCATGGCTGTAAGTTGCGCAGATCTGAGGTCCAGAGTCTAGGGTTTGGAGAGTCACACCTAACATCCGCCAGACCCTGGTCCCAGAGGACGAAGGCCCTCTAGCTGCCTGCTGCTTCCCTAAGATCCAACATTGCATCCTTCAAGCCAGGCCAATAGTTTTCCTACTGTGCGCCCACCGACTCTAACCCTGCATTTCCTGTGATCCCGCAAGGGAGGGGGAATGTGGACCCAGAGCTCAGCGGGGGCTGAAACCTGCGTGAGTGCGGGGGCGGGTGGTGACGTCATGTCCGAGAGCGAGGCTGCGCCAAAGCAGACGTCAGTGGCGCACCCACCCCCCCGCCGCCCGCGCACGCGCTCCGGCGTCAGCGGCGCGCGGGGGCGAAGGCCCGCAGGGAGGGGGACTGCGGAGAAGAGCGAGTACATCTCCCGGCGTCGCGCGCCCCCTGCCGGCTGCGGTGTGCATGCCACCCGGTGGGCTCACCTGCCTCCCCCACTAGGTACGACCTCTCCAGCAGCCGGCATCGTAAATTTATTTATTTATTCATTTATTTACTTATCTATCCATTTTCTCATGTATTTGCTTATAGACATGCTCCCATTATGTAGACCCGGATGATCTTGGTCTCATGGAGCCCCGCTCCCCTGACCTTCCGGAGAGTTGTGATTAACTACACCTGGCTTATAGTTGATTCTTAGAAATGCGGTGCACACTTTGGAAATAGGTTTACCACGTCGCGGAATTCGGTGATCCTCTGTCAGCCTCCCGAGGGCTGGGATTGGAGGAGTGCGTCACCACACCTGACTGGAAGTCTAAATTTTAACTCTCTCCAAACACATTACAGCTTTGCTTCTTTTTGCCTTCGCATGCACGCGAAGCGCCTCCACACTCACTGATCGGCACCTGCCATCGAGCGGGCAACCCTTCAGCGGGCGGGTAGGTGTCCGGTCGCAGATCAGCCTAACCCAGGGCGTCATTTGCAATTTGAAGGCGGAGAAAACTACAATTCCCAGAATGCCCCACACCGCCTAGGCTCCTCCTACTCCAGGGCAGCCCGGAATGCCTCGAGCGCAGCCTACCGGGAGCCGTAGTGAGCGCGTGCGTCTTGGCGGAAACTGCGCCTCCCAGAAGGCTGCGCGCGTCGTCCTCCTCGCCCTCCCTCAAGGCCGCCTCGCCGTCCCGGTGTGTCCGCCGTCGCTATGCTGCCCGCCATGCTGCCCGCCGCTCTGCTGCGCCGTCCGGGCCTGCGCCGCCTGGTGCTCCAGGCGCGCGCCTACGCCGAGGCCGCCGCCGCCCCCGCCGCCGCGCCCGGACAGATGTCCTTCACCTTCGCCTCCCCGACGCAGGTGCGAACTCGCAGCCCCCGACCCCCGGGCTGCAGGCCAGTGGCTGACCCTCGTGGGGTGTCACCTCTGTGGGGGCTCGGGTTCCTCCCCCACGGGGATCCTGTGACCCCTGCCCCTAGACGGGGTCACGTGGACCCCAAGCCTGAGCTCTGTGTTCACTGGAAGTTTATGCCCCGCCTCTAGGGGCGTGCCGCCGGGCCCTGGGGAGGGTCTCCGGTACCTGAGCGGATTTTGCTCCTGCCCCAGCCCCGGCCTTGGCGGAGGTAACCCCAGCCCCGTCCTCGGGGGGTCGCTGGGGCTCATGAACGCCAGGCGCCATGCAGGGCTAGGTAGTGTCGTCTAGACCCTCGGATCCACGTGGACCACGCGTGCACCCCGGCCCCTGGTGCTGCCTGGACCCGGGACGGAGCCCGACCCAAGCCCCTTGTCCCGAAGGGTTCACTTGAACCCCAAACCCTCCCCGTGCAGACCCGACCGGGGCTTTGCCGACACGACATGCACTTGGCCCGTTCGTGACTCTGGGCTGCCTAGGTGGGCTCGTCCTCTCCATCCTCCCAAAGCAGCTTCCTAGTGGAAGGGGCGGCAGCCTTAGTTCCCGAGCCCCGTCTCCAAGCGGCCAGCCGCACGGGCCAGGCTAACGCCCAGCATTGTCCCTGCTTCGGTACCTTCCCGACACCGGCGACCCCCCCCAGGCGGGCGAGCCCAGCGGCCGCGACCCCGGTGCCGTCTCCACGCCCGGGTAATGTCTGCCCCGCGCTGTCCGTTTCAGGTGTTCTTTGAGGGTGCCAACGTGCGGCAGGTGGACGTGCCTACGCTGACGGGAGCCTTTGGCATCCTGGCGTCCCACGTCCCCACGCTGCAGGTCCTGCGGCCTGGCCTGGTGGTGGTCCACGCCGAAGACGGGACCACAACCAAGTACTTTGGTGAGTGTGGCGGAGGACAGGGCTCGGGTCCCCACGGGGCGTGGCAAGGGGAGTTTGCACAGGTCACCCGGACCAGATGCAGTCGCCCGAGCAGCCGGCTTCACACAAAGGCAACGTGTGCAAGCGACTGCGAGGAGCTGGCCTGCAGGGGGACACAGCCAGTGTGGGGAACCGGGGTGCGCTCCGTCAGATGAGCAGGGGTGCTGTGAACGCCGCCCAGGGCCCTGAGAAGCACTCTGGGCGGGGGACCTACCTGCAGCCTTCCCTGGGATTCCAGCAAAGTGCTGGACCCCGGTCACGCCCCCTCGCTGGGGAGTCTAGGCGGGGCTCCACCCGGCCACGCCCCCAGACCCTCACTGGGGCATTCTAGGCGGGGCCCCACCCGGCCACGCCCCTGCTCACTGGGGCATTCTGGGCGGGGCTCCACCCGGCCACGCCCCCAGACCCTCACTGGGGCATTCTGGGCGGGGCTCCGCCCGGCCACGCCCCCAGACCCTCACTGGGGCATTCTGGGCGGGGCTCCACCCCGGCCACGCCCCCAGCCCTCTTTTACTATCTCATGGTCTGCGGCCCAGCGCAGGGTGAGGATGGGAAGAGGTGCGCGCGCACCTGAAGGACATTGGTGGTGGTGATCTCTGTCAGCGCTGCCTTAATTCCCTAGTGCTAGGCTCGCAGGCCCGCACCATGGGCCGTAGCCTCCCGATTGCTGGGGTAACTGCAGGCGCGCCACCCACTGCGCCTCAGCCCAGCTTCTCCTTTACACCGGGTTTGAGACTAGACCTCGCTGTGTGGTCTCCCCGGGGCTGGGATGACCTGCGGGGTGACACACGCGCTGGCCCGCGCACCCGTCTTGTGGGGTCGCCTTGGACCTGAGGCCATAGCACACTCGGGGGCGGGGTGGAGATGGGGGGCGGCTCTGCTCAGGCCTCGTCTCCCCCACAGTGAGCAGTGGCTCCGTCACCGTGAACGCAGACTCCTCGGTGCAGTTACTGGCCGAAGAAGCTGTGACGCTGGACATGCTGGACCTGGGGGTGAGCAGATAGGGAAACTGAGGCCCGGGGCCGGGGCTGGCAGGGAGGCAGCTTGCAAGAGTGTGGCTGTGTCCTCGGCCTGCCCGGCCCTCACCGTGGCGCACTCCTCCGCAGGCAGCCCGGGCCAACCTGGAGAAGGCGCAGTCAGAGCTGTCTGGCGCGGCGGATGAGGCCGCACGGGCCGAGATCCAGATCCGTATCGAGGCCAATGAGGCCCTGGTGAAGGCCCTGGAGTAGGCGGTGCGTGCCTGTCACACGGGGACACTGAGTCCAGGCAGATGGAAACTGTTCCCTGGAGTCGGCTCGGTTGGTCGCTGTTCGAGTTGCCACCAGGGGGCAGTGGTACTCCAGCCGCTGGCTTACAAAGCTTCCTGGTGCCCGTCTGCCCAGGAGGTCTCTCTGCAGCCTTCCCACAGCCTGGGATCCCCACGCCGCCCCTGGGTGGCTGGCACTGCTCTCCCCGCCACACCCCCTCTCCAGAGCCACCTGGACGGTCAGCTTGCCCTGGCCTGCCTCCATTAAACGCCAGGAACCAACTGAGTGTTGTGGTTTCTAAGTCTGCCTGTCACCCCTGCCTGGGGCTCCTGTATCCCAGCCCCCAGAGGCACCCTGGCAACAGTGGGTGGGGTACATGTGGGCTAGGCTGCTGGGGTGCTGGCTGTGGGGTGGGTGGCATGGGCAAGGGTTGAGGGCAGGGCAGGCAGGGGTGGGTGTGGCTACAGCTGCTAGCCCAAGTCAGCACCCTGACCACCGGCCAGGCCAGGCCCACCCTCTGAGGCCCCCGCCCCACCCCACAGGCTCTGGGAAGAGGCGGGCACCACCTGCTCCCACAGAGGCCCCGCCCTAGGCACACCCCGCTTGTGGGTGGCCCTAGCCTAGCTGGCTACCTTCCCGGGCCCTGGTGCAGTCGGCAGGCGCCTCCTTAGGCATTAGGCCCCTAGCTGGCCCCAGGTGGGGTGGGGCGGCCCAGGAGGAGCAGCCCCGGTACCACCACGCCCTCTACACCCCCACCCCAGGGTGGCCAAGCTCTGTCTGACTTGCCGCCTCTGTGGGGGCCTGGGGGAGGCACCAGTTGGGGGTTCAAGGAGGGCAAGCAGGGCCGCCCGGACAGTGGTCTATCTGCAGGCAGCGAGGTGCAGCCTGTCACACTGCGTCAGGGCCCTGCGTGGGCAACTCCCGTGGCTCCTGAGCCTGACCGGGAATGAGTGTGCCTGCGCCACACACACACACACACACACACACACACACACACACACACACACACACAGGTAAGTCACAGGAGGGTCACGCTAGGTCCCCACCTGGCCCACGTCAGGCTTAGAGGTGTGGACCACAGAGGTCATGACGCAGGGCCTACCCAGGCCCCACCCTCTGTCCTCAGGCTGAGAGCCCAGGTCCTGACTGACCAAGTGCCACCAGGGGTCCTGTCAATTAAACCAAAGGCGCAGGCTGGGCAAATGTCACCAGGAACCCCAGAGCATCCTGACCTGGGCTAGCACACCTTGTAGTGTGAGGCTCAGCCTCCCGCTCTCTTAACTGTGAGCTTCGGAGTCTGGGGACAGGGACAGCCTGTGCTGGCTGAGCTGTGTCCTGGGACAGCTGGTGGGTGGGGTGGGACCTTCCTGGAGGGCAGGTCCTGGATGGAGCACTGAGTGTTGGGGCTTCACACCTCGGGGCAGAGGGTCACATAGGATTAAGATCTAGGAAGCAGGAAGTCTGGGTTCCCTTCAGTCCTTACACCAGCTCCCAGGCTTAAGTGTCCCGTCAGAGCCAGCCACCTCACCTGCCGCGTTCTCCTGATCCAACCTTACCTGGCTTCCGTACCCTCCTTCACAAACCAACTCCTATCCAGCCCTCAAATGCCCTGGGCTTCCAAGTGCTCTCTGGCCTGGGAGTGACCCTGGAGTGTTGGAGCCCGCCTTCCCTCCCTGCTTGGGGGCCCAGCATGCCTATCCATAGTGCTCATGCTCTATCCAGGGCAGGAAGGAGACCTAGGAAGGAGCGAGCCTGGGAGGGGCTCCCAGGCTAAGGGTGACGGAAGTGCTCAGGCCAGATACAGGCAGGGTGAGATAAGTGGACAAGAGGCTCTGAGTCCGTGCCACAGGGTGGGTCACCAACCACTCCAAAGGGGGGACATCATGTGCTGAGGATCATTCGCGAGGGGACGAGAAGGGGTCACACCTGGGGGTGCAGACTGCCCCTGTAGGAGGCTCTCCTTAGGTCCATGCTGCCCAGGTCCATGACCTGAGCTGATTCCTGGGACCCAGATGCCGGAGGGACAACCCTGACCTCCACATGCACCATGCATAGGGTGCCGGCGCCTTAGGGACTGCGCCACTCATGGAGGTCACACGGGTGACTGTCCAAGCAGGCCAGGGGTGGTTGAATCGTCACCGAAATGGCCTCTGAGGTCACCCTTAAAGGATGCGGAGGCCAGGCCATCAGGCAGCTGTCCCGAGCACCCCAGTGCCTGGCAGGTGACACTGCCCTGTTTTCCTGAACCCAGGCTGCTGACTCAGGAACCCCTTCCCGTCCCGCCCCCCTTCCCCACACGGGCGCCCCCAGGCGGAAGCACCAGAGCAGCAGGAAAGGGGGCGGGGCAGGGAAGCTGGCCAGACCCCCCGATGCTAAAGTGCTGTGAACCGGAGGACCTGGGGAGGCAGGAGTTAGCACCGCCAGGGGCACCGGGAAGCCACGGCCGGGTCGGTGCTGGGAAGCCCTAGGGCTGGGTGCCCGGCCCCAGGCCAGCAGGCAAGGGGGGCATATGCGTCACCATCATCCGCCCCCCTCCGCCCCTTGCCCGCCCAAACTCCACCCCAAGGGAAGGCGGCGCGGATAAAGGCTCAGGGGCCGTCTGCCTGTCCCCAGACCGGCAGGGCCACCTCACTGCAGCCCGCACGCACGCAGGTCATCCTGAGCAGAGGTGACCCAGGACCTGCGGCTCCGGGTGAGTAGAGGCGGGGCCGCACGAGGCGCGGAGGGGTCTCCACCCGCCGTGGCTCCCCAGGGTCCTCTTTGTTCTCTCGGCACCGAGGGTACCTTGGGACAGGGAGCCCCTCAGCTTGTGGGGTGGGAGGGGCCGCGCGCAATGGACACCACCCTGGCGGACCGCAGCCCACGCCCCCCACTCCCACTTTCGGTGACCTTGAACTAGTTGTGAATCTCGACTCAGTTTCCCTGTATACGCGGTCTTAGTCTTCTCCGCATGTTAAATCTAAAGACTCTCAACGGCGCCTCCCCACCGGCTGACCCCCAAGTCCCTGCTCCCCATTTCCCAGCCGAGACACACGGCCCCCCTCCCCGGGGACTCGGGCAGCGCTCCCGGGCGGGGACTGCAGAGGGCGCGCCGGGGCTGCTGACTCACCGCTGCCCGGAGCGGGGCGCGCGCGGGCGCAGCCGGGGACGCCGCGTCACGTCACGGCTTGGGCGGGCGCACCTCGGGAAACGGGCCGACCCGGGATGGGGGGGCGCAGAAAAAACAGAGGACGGTGGGTTAGGTTGGGACGCGAAGTGGCACTGGCTCGGCAGGGAGGGATCTGCCGAAGCCACGTCACCGAGCTGCAGGGCCCCGCCCAGGCTGTGGGTCCCGCCCAGGTTCTCCAATATCGTTTCAGCCACCCGCCCGCCCGCCCACGGGGCGGAGGACCGGCCTGTCCTTGAGAGCCCTGCCCGCGACCCTTGGCCACGAGGCTCAGGGCTCAAGCTGCCACTTCCGCAGGCAGGAGCTTCCCGGACAGACCCAGCGGGGAGGCCCCGCGATTTCCTGTTCCTCCCTTAGTCGGGAACAATGGCCGGTCTTCGCCTTCCCCCAGACCGCTCCCCTTGGAGAGGGAGGGGCTGCGCTCGCGCGGAGGGTGGCGGTGGGGGAGAAGGTGCTAAGTCTCCCCACCGGGGTCTGCTGCCCGCTCGCCCTTTGTTGGGATCTCTGAGCCTTATGAATGGCTCTGGGCGCGGGTGGGGGGGCGCGGAGGCGGGTCAGGAGCCGCATCAGCCCAACCCCCTCCGTGTCTCCATTGGACGTTGAAGGGACGGGGCGGCACCGGGGAGGGTCTCGCTGCCACGTGGGGTAGCCCCGCGGCGATTCCCATTGGCCCGGGAGCGCGACGGACTGGGCGGTCTGTGCGTGCTGATTGGCCGCCGCCGGGCCGGCGGAGTAAGTAGTGAATGGGAGGGGGCGGTGGTCCCGCCCCCTGGAACGTTGATACATGATAACTTTTTTTTCTTCGTACTTTCACCCCCAGATCTTGCGAGCGGCGGCTGCGGCTGTTGCTAAGGCAGGGGACGCGAGGGGTAGCACGACCCGAGAGGAATCCAGGCACCGTGCGGACCGGGATAGCTCGCCCCTCTTCCGTGGGACCCTCCCTGCGCCGTGCCCAGGTCGCCGTCCTCCGCCCTTGAAGGAATCGGATCCCAGACCCCACCCTGGGGCGCAACCCAAGGATCCCACGCGACCCCGGAGCACCACTCGGATTTTTGCCTGCCGGCTTGGTTGCTAACGTAGAAGACCTTCCCTAAGGGGCGCACGCACTGCCGTCCCTGAGCGCCCGCAGAGCGGAGGAGGACCTCGTTCCGGCGGGAGAGTCCCAGCGAGGATTGGAGGCGACCCGCGGACCCCAGGCCTCCTGCGCTCGCCGGGGATGGAGCCGCAGCCCGGCGGTGCCCGGAGCTGCCGGCGCGGGGCCCCCGGCGGCGCCTGCGAGCTGAGCACTGCTTCAGAGTCGGCCGCACCCATGACCCTGGCCATCCACAGCACCACGGGGACTCGCTACGACCTGTCGGTGCCCCACGACGAGACCGTGGAAGGGCTGCGCAAAAGGCTGTCCCAGCGCCTCAAAGTACCCAAGGAGCGCCTGGCTCTGCTTCACAAAGACACGTAGGTAGCGCGCCGCCCCCGCCTGCGCGCCCCTGGCACCAGGCCGCCCCCTCGGGCCCCGGCCCCGGGCGGAAACAAAGAGCGCGCCGCGCGGGGAAGCAGGGGGCAGCCAGACGGGGGCCGGGGGCGCGCCGCGCGCTCTCGGGCGCCCTCTGCTCGGCCTCACTCGCCTGAGCCCCCTCCCCCGCCAGGGTCTGCACAAAGGCAGGAGCGCGCTGCCGGGCCCCGGGATACACGGGAACTACGGGGGTGGCGCGGCGGACGTGGGCCACCGGGATGTCGTGGGGAGGGCTCCAGTGTCTGCGCGTTTGGGAGGGGGGCGCACAGCCGCCCCCTCTCGTGCCCGCGGTCTCGCCGCTTCCGCATCTGCTCGGCGGCCCCCTCTGTCTGGCTGTATCCCCGTCACTTACGTTTCCCTGCCCCCCTTTGTTCTCGCTTCCCCACACCTCCCCCAACCCGATATTTAAATCACCTCTAGGCCAGGGAGTCTCCCCTCCCCACACCCCCTCGCGGGCCTCTGGGGACACACAGTGTCCATCCCCAGCGGAGGGGCCCTGTGGGGGAGGGGCGGGAGGGTCTCCTTTGTTTGAGCAGCGGCCTGCGTCGGGGAGGGAGGAGGGGGAGCCCGGGTCGGCGGATGCCCCGAAGGCCTCCATCTGAAAGGGCCCGAGCCCCGCGGCGCCCACAAAGACGAGCCTGGGCAAGCATCGGGAGTTGTAGGCAGGAGCTGGCCTGGAGGGGGGCGCGGGGGAGGGGGGCGGTGGGAAAGTCTCTGGTTCCCTGCGGATGGGGGAGTGAGTGCGTTAACCTCGGCTAAGTCCCTCTGTTGGGGGCTCACGGGGCCGAGAGACCGCCCCACGGTCCCTGGAATCCGAGGAGCCGTAGGGGTGGGAAGCGCTCCCGTCTGTCCCCCTCCCTGCGGACGCACAGCCCTCCTCCTCGGCCTCCGCTTCCGCGTCTCTGTGTCGTCTCCCGGCTCACCCTCTTCCTTCCTACCCCCAGCCGCCTCAGTTCGGGGAAGCTGCAGGAATTCGGCGTGGGGGATGGGAGCAAGTTGACGCTCGTGCCCACGGTGGAAGCCGGTCTCATGGTAAATGACTGAGGGGCGCGTGCCCTGGAGTCTCCCGTCCCCTGGCCACCCCACTCCACAAATGACCGTCCTGCCCCTTGCAGCGAGCGCTCGCCCCCAGCCCAGCGCACAGGGCCCCCTCCCCGTTCCCTGCTGTACTCCTCCACTGAAGACATTCTTCGTCCCTCTCTTTGCAGTCCCAGGCCTCCAGGCCGGAGCAGTCCGTTATGCAAGCTCTGGAAAGTTTGACCGAGACACAGGTAAGCACCTACCACCCTCCCCCAACCCAGGGGGCTGCAGTGGCCACGCCTAGGCATCGCGGCTCCCGGGACACCCTTAGAGAACCTCCGGTTGTTTGTGCTTCCCTGGTGGCCCGTGGGGGAGGGGACGAACGCCCCGCCTCGGTGCCAGCTTGGCCTGGTCACCCCACTTCCTCTTCCTCCGTGCCCCCCCTGACCACCTGACCTTGAGAAGTTTTCTCTCCCACGGTGGCTGCCATGGGTGGGGGAGGGCCGATCTTTTGACTGGCCCTGATTGTGGGTGACCTTGGCCTGTACTCTGTCCTCCAACCCAGCACACTCCCGCTATAGAAGACCTCTCCGAAAAGCCTCATTTGGGGAGGGAGGTGACAAGTTAGCCCTGCCGCTGCAGAGGGTGGGGAGTCATCCATAGCCCGGTCCTCCTGGCTCTGGCCTTTGTTAAGTACCCCGATAGGGGGAGGGGAGACAGGGGCACCCAGCCCTGGGCCAGGGAGGCCCAGACAGGATGTTAGAATATTTAGTGAGCAGCCAGGAGGGAGGCTGGGCCTGGCTGTGAGGAGGCTTCCCGGTTTTGTTGAGGCCCCCTCCCCCTCCGTTCAACAGGGCCCTCCTCTCTGAGTCCCTAGGCCCTCTGTAGTTTGTCCTCAGGAGCAGGGGAGCAGGCTGGATGCCTGCCCTGGTGAGCCAGAGTGGGCAGGACCCCTGAGCCTCCCCATACAGGAACCCTGCTCATCTGAGACCCTCTCTTAGATTGCAAAGCTAGCGCCTGCTTCCTGTATAGGCAGAAGAAGGCCTCCGGGCTGGGTGGTCCCGCCTCTGGGAGGGGTCCCTGGGCCAGAGGTGGGGCCTGTCTGGGCTGACTTTGAGCAGACTTGTGTGTGCTGGCCTGGGGGGGGGGCTGCCAGGAGGGAGTTAGAAATGGGTGCTGGGTGGTTTCGTGAGGTCATTTGTCCTCACCATGGGAGAAAGGTGATCCCAGCTGCCCAGGAAACCACTTCAGGCCCTTACCTGTAAAGGGTTTAGAAGGCAGGGAGGAGGGATTCGGGGTGGGCCTGTTCCTGCCTACCCACACATCCCCTCCCCATGGGGCCCCAAGCAGAGAAGGTTACTCCAGCCCTCAGCCAGCAGAGCCAGGGGAGGGAGTTCTGCGAGGCGGTCTGGTGTGACTCATAGGCCTATGTCACTTCTCAGAAACCTCCCCCCTACACACACCCTGGCCTCTGGGGAGAACAAGGCTAATGGCCAGAGCCCCAGGGGTGGGAGAGAAGGTACCCAGTGCATCTGAGGGTCGGGTAGGCCCACAGATCGGCCCCACAGTGTGTTTGGGGGAGGGGAGGGCTGGCAGGTCAGAGAGTTCATGCTTGCTGGGGTGTATAGAGGCCCATGGGCATAGGCCTCCAGCCCCACCCCTCCACCCCAGTCCAGGACGTATAAATATTTATCTTTGGAAAGCAAAGGTTAACCCTGAGGAGTTCCTTCAGGATCCAGCCTGCCTCTTGGGTGACATAGCTGTGAAGGGGAACTTGACAGGATTCTCTTGTGCTACATGGGGTCTGATGGGAAAGGGAGACTTTATTTGAGGGAAGGCAGTGACCATCTGCCCGGCCCCCCGCCCCTCTGGTCTCAGTTTCCCCTTTAAAGGACCCAGAGCCAGAGGCCCCAATCTGACCCACCTCTGTCCCCCCCACAGCCCCCAGCGACACCCGGGCCAGGCCGGGCTGCCGGAGGAGGCTTCCGGAAATACAGATTGATTTTATTTAAGCGTCCGTGGCACCGACAGGGACCCCAGAGCCCAGAGAGGGGCGGCGAGAGGCCCCAGGTCACACACTGTGGGGAGGGCTGGGCTGGGCTGGGCTGGGCGCATCAGGGGTGAGAAGCCGTCAACTGAGGAGTGTCTCCCTACTTCTTCCCTAGGTCAGTGACTTTCTGTCGGGCCGCTCACCTCTGACCCTGGCCCTTCGAGTCGGGGACCACATGATGTTTGTGCAGTTGCAACTGGCCGCGCAGCACGCTCCGCTCCAGCACCGCCACGTGCTCACAGCCGCCGCGGCCACCGCCGCCAGCACCCGGGGAGATTCCAGTGTGGCCGCCCCGGTGTCCTCGCCCTGTAGGCCAGTGTCCAGTGCCGCCCGCGTCCCCCCAGTGCCCAGCAGCCCGTCGCCTGTGTCCCCCTCACCCGTCACCGCTGGCTCCTTCCGATCCCACGCAGCAGCCTCCACAGCCTGTCCCGAGGTAAGGATCAAAGTGCCTATTACCAGCCTGGACGCAGGGGGGAATTTTGAGGGTTCCAGCTGTGGCCTTTAGAACAAATGCCCTTCCCTGAACCCCAGTGCATTGCATCTGGAATGCTGGACCCGTGGGTGGGCGCTGACGCTGCCCTTGAGGTGGGGGAGGCCTGGCTGACCCTTCACGGCCATACCCATTGCTAATCTCCCAGCAGCAGATGGACTGTTCCCCACCAGCCAGCAGCAATGCCACCCCTCGCTCCCGCAAACCCGGTGCCGTCATCGAGAGCTTCGTGAATCATGCTCCTGGGGTCTTCTCAGGCACCTTCTCTGGTAGGTGCCACCCCACAGGAGTGACCCTGAGGGTTGCGTTCTGGCTGTGCTCATTAAGTACCTCCCCCAGGAACCCCGGGGCATGTTGCTGTGTGACCCTGGACAGACACATAGGGCATGCCATCTGCAGTTACCTGTGCGTACTGTGACATTATGGATAGAAGCCAGGTCACTGCTGCTGAGCCACGCCCTCTGTCCCTCAGTGGGGCACTCTGTGCAGAGACTCTACCGAGTCACGCCCCAAGCCTGTTGTACTTTTTATTTTGTGATGGGGTGTTCCTGAGGTCCCCCGGCTGGCTTTAAGACCTCAGCCTCCTGAGTAGCCACCAGACCTGACCCTGCGGGATAAATGCCTGGTCTACCTGCCGCCCTATCCTCCCTCACTCCCACGCCCCAGTAAGGTGGAAAACCTTGGGACCTTTCTGTTTGCAGGCACGCTGCACCCCAACTGCCAGGACAGCAGTGGGCGGCCGCGGCGGGACATCGGCACCATTCTCCAGATACTCAATGACCTCCTCAGTGCCACACGGCACTACCAGGGCATGCCACCCTCGCTGACCCAGCTCCGCTGCCACGCCCAGTGCTCACCTGCCTCACCGGCCCCCGACCTCACCCCCAAAACTACCTCCTGTGAAAAGTTGGCAGCCACAGCCCCCACCTCCCTGCTCCAGGGCCAGAGCCAGATCCGAATGTGCAAACCCCCTGGTGAGTGGCCCTGTCACCTCCCAGCCCCCTGCTTCTCAAGGCCGCCTCTGTGCTGACCTGACTGGGGACCCCCTGGAGCTGGCAGCTGCCGCCTGCCCCCCCCGCCCTGTTTGGGAGAAAAGGAGGCAACTGTTCGGGCTGCATAGAGTGTCCTTGTGAGCTCCAGGGGCTTCCGCATCACTTCCTCTCCCCCCCCCATCTCCAGATGGCCTCTGGCCCTCTCATGAATGACTCAGTCCCAGCCCTCCAGACACAGGCAGATGTGCCCACCCCACTCAAGCAGTGGACTGATGGTGACCACTGCCCTACCCAATCACCTGCTTCCACAGCCATGTTTACACAAGTGGGAAACTGAGCCACACGCTTTGTACCATTTGTGGTTGGTTGGTTGGTTGGTGTATTTTGGTTTTTCAAGACTGGGTTTCTCTGTAGCTTTGGAGCCTGTCCTGGCTCAGGACCAGGCTGGCCTCGAACTCACAGAGATCTGCCTCTGCATCAGCCACTTGGGCTTTTGAAATAGACTGTTGGTTTTTGTTTGGTTTAGGTTTTTTTTATTTGCATTTCATTAGCAAGGCTGTCAGTTCATGTCCTGTGTCCCTCCCCCCTCCAGAGATTCCACCTGTGAATGAGACCCCGCCCCTCACTGGGGCACTGTAGCCAAGAGTTCTCCTTTCTTTTCAGCCCAAGCTGCTTCCCGATGATCCGTGACATTGGCCAAACTTCTTTTGTGTTTTTGTTATTGTTGTTTGGGGGTGGGATGGGTTTTCTTTTTCTGAGATAGGGTCTCACCACATAGCCCTGGCTGTTCTGGAACTTACTGTGTAGACCAGGTTCAAGCTCTGCCTCTGCCTCTGGAATGCTGGGGTCAAAGGCAAAAGCCACCAACCAAGCCCAGCTAATTTCCTCATTTTTCATTAGCCAAACCCCTGCCCACCCGCCCTCCCCAGCATGTCCCGGGAGCCGGGGAGGAGTGAGGTTGGGCCAGGGGCTTCTGTGGGCCTTTCGAGGCCCCAGCTGACTGGCTGGGAGCTGGAGACTCATGGGTGCCCTGTCTCCTGCAGGAGACCGTCTGCGGCAGACGGAGAACCGCGCCACGCGCTGCAAAGTGGAGCGCCTCCAGCTGCTACTGCAGCAGAAGCGCCTGCGGAGGAAGGCCCGGCGGGACGCGCGGGGTCCCTACCACTGGACCCCCAGCCGTAAAGCTGGCCGCAGTGACAGCAGCAGCAGCGGCGGGGGCGGGGGCGGCCCTGGCGAGGCTGGCGGCTTGGGCCTCGACTTTGAGGACTCTGTCTGGAAGCCTGAAGTTAACCCGGATATTCAGTCCGAGTTTGTGATGGCTTAAAGGATCCAGCCCCCTTGGGTGTGACATCCCCACCCCAGACACGGGGCGGGTGGGGCGCCGCAGCCTGGACGCTGAGTAGCCCAGCTCTGGGGGGGCAGGAGGTCGCCTCCACTGCCACTCACCAGCCTTTCTGATCCTTTTCTAGCTCTTCCCCATTGTCTGCCCCGCATCCCTGGTCACATGCCTATCTCTTTCCTTCCGCACCGTGGTCGGCTCCCGGCTCCGGGGGCCTCTGTGCCAGGGCCCTTCCTACCCCCCTTCTCCAGCTCCAAATATGTAGCAGTCTGTTCCCAGATGGCCCAGACGGAGGAAGCCACCCACCCCCAGCCCTTCCGTTCTGCCTCGCTCCCCCACCCCCTCCATAACCCGATTCAGGTTTTTGACTCAAAATGTAGATTCTCCAAGAAGCACTTTACAGATGAGGGTTGGGGACCCTGGGATGAGTGTGTCCACCCCCACCCCTGTCTGCAGACTTGGCCTCCATTCCAGGCCAGCTGGATCCCCCACCCCGCCCACCCTGAGAAACTAACAGAATGGTCTCACAGGGGAATCCCTTGTCCACAGTTCCCATTCAGCTCCCCCTTACCCCTCAGCCTGCGGCCCACACCGCTGCCTGGCTGGCCCTGCCCTTGCCATGAAAGGCTAGCTGGATGGAGAACGCTGAGGCAGGTGGCTGTTGGTCAGCTGGGGATGCCCCTCTTCCTCACAGGAAAGGACAGGCCTCAGGCCACCTCCATAGATCAACTCCACTGCCCCTGCCTCCCACATACCCACCTATCTCCCTACCCTTCGCAGCGGAGCTTGGGGGACTATTTATAGATTTCGTTTTTCTGACTGAGCCACGAGTGGTTGCTGTTCTCTAGGGGGGGGAAGCTGGGGTAGGTGGTGGCGGGCAGAGAGACACCTCTGTACCTCTTCTCCCATGCCCAGCTTAAGGGGCCAGCTTCTCCGCGGCAAGGATGGGGCCTGGGGTGCTGGGACTGCACCACCCCACCTGGGGGGGTAAGCTGCTGGTCCGCACTGGCCTCGCTGGTCCACGGTGACAGCCCTCCCCTCGAACTGGGGCCTTTTCACCAAGGGTGAATCCTGTGGGTTTTTTTTCCTCCACTTTTTTAGATTCTGTGCTAGTGGGATCTGTTCCCACCCCAACATCTGTCCTTGGCTCCTTTGTTCCAGTCTGTGAACCCCAGGTCCCCCTCCCCCGTGTTTGACCTTAATGGTTTGGGGTGCGAACGAGTGTTGACTGTAGCTGTAAAGTTTTTTGGGGGTGTGGGGAGGGGGGAAGGGATTGATCCTGGAGGGTAGAGGCCGAGATTTTGGTTTGGTTTATTTTTTTCAATCTTTTTTTCCAAAAAGAAAAGGGAGGGGGGGTTAAGTGGGTGCATTTTTTAAGCTGTCTTGGATACCTATTTAAATGTGTGTTTTTTGGGTTTTTTATGATTTTTTTTAACTTCCTGTGATGTGTGCCCTGGGCTAAGGGTGGGGGCCTCAGGCAGGAGTCCACCCATAGTCCCTCCTTCCACTGACACTTTCCCCAGATAGCATTAGCCACCCTCGGGGAGAGAAATTGGCTGTGGGGGATCCGCCTCGCCCAAGTATCATTTTATTGAAATGAAATTTGAAGGGAGGGGAACCTTACACAAGCACCTAATTTCAAATAAACGAAAGACGTGAACTTGAGCCCGCTTCTTCATTTAGGGTTCCCGGGTTCCAGCTCCAGGAATGAGGTGCCCGGCTTCCCCTAAATGGTTTCTCTCTCGGCTTGGGGCTGGCAGGAAGCTGCCTAGGGTGGAGGGAGGGAGCGCCTAGCCACTTCCTGCTACCCAAGGCCGGAAGTCCCTTTGGGCGTGGGGCTGGGGCACGCACTGGGCGACGCCTTCACCCTCTCAGTTCCCGGCTGTCAAGTGGGCTGAAGACGGGAACTTTGGAGTCAGTGTCCGGACAGGCATCCCTGGAGTGGGAGGGTTGCTCTAACCCGGGACTGGGAAGTACTCCCTGGGGTCGCACCCTCGCTGTAAAGGGGTCTAGCCTACGCTGCCGCAGAGATCTCTGACGTCGCGCGGCTCTCCTCAGCGCCCCGCCCCCCTCCGGGTCGGATTCGCGGTCCACCTCCGAGGGTCACGCACCAGCCCTCCGGGTCTGGGCACTACCCAGGGGTGGACCGCCTGCAAAGCCCACCTGGCGCTCCCTAAGGTCCCCGCTTCGTGCCTGCTGGGGCTGGGCTGAGGCGGCTAACCCTCGGTCTCAATTCCTTCAGAGAGCTCTTTAAGTAAAGCTCCCACTTTACAGCCCATAAAACTGAGGACCCCAACCCAACACTGGGCATAGAGGTCTAGACCTGTGGTTGGAATCTACACTCCCTAGTCCTGGCCCCGAGAGTCTCATCGGGTGAGGAAGCAGGTGCCTTCCCCAAGGGTGGCCTGTGACACGCCAGGAAGGTGGGTGTCCCGTCAGGCCGGAGAGCTCATGGTCAGCGGGCTCAGACACGGGGTAGGTGAGGCGGGAGAGGCCGCTGGGTCACCCGGCGCCGCTTGGGGAGCAGCAGGCGGTCCCTGCATCGCCCGCCGCGTCCGCAAGCCGGGCCGTCCCGTGGACCTCAGGGCCCGAGTCGGTGCCGCCGCGCTGGGGAGTGCTCTGCGAAGGTCACCGCGCTCCGCCCGGGGCACGATCGCCGGCGCCCAGCCCGAGGGGAAGGCCCTGCGCGCGGCAGGGCAGAGAGGTAAACCGAGGCCCCGGCAGCACGGGCCGCCGCAGTCGAGAGGGGCGGGGTCGGCCCTTCGCGTCCTTCCGCCCCCCCCCTCCCGCCCCACAACGCCCCATTGAGGAAAAAGTTGAATGGGAGGGGGCGGCCCCCCGGAAACCCGACGAGATGGAAACGCGGTTGCCAGGGCAACGCGCCGCGAGCGGCTCCCGACGTCACCGCAGGCAGGGCTCCCTGTCCGCCTCCGCCGGCGCCCCGGCCCAGGCCCCGCCCGCCCGTGGGGAGGTCTGATTGGTGAACGTGCCTGTCGGTCTTCCGCACGAACCAATAGCTCGAGGTTGTCCCCTGGGGGCGGGACTTCAGCCCTGCAAAGCCGAGTTCGTGAGCGCGGAGGAGGCGCAGCGGCCCCGCCCCGCTACCGCGGGTCTGCGAGCTTGGGGGCGGAGACGCACCCGAGGCTTGACGGCTGAGGCTGGGCCTGGACGGAAGAGGGGGCGTCCCTGGGGGCGTCGCACGTGGACCCCCCAACACGGGCATGCCACGTGCACCCCGCTGCGCACACCAGCATCGCCTGCGGCGGCCTTTTCGGGTTCACTGACCTCCGCCTGGTTTCCTTGCAGTTCCCAGCCTCTGGGAGGTCTTGAAGAAGGGAGGCGACCTGTAGGAGGGGGCTTTGCGGGACGAATAGGAGTTTGCCAAGTGTTGTTGGGAGAGAAAAAGGTTGTGCTGCGGGGCAGCAATCAGGTCCGGGGGGGATAGGAAAAGGCAAAGCTGGGTAGTGAGGGAGATCCCCGAGTCTAGGCTCGAGCTGGTGGGGGCGGGACGCCTGACCGTGACCCTGGTTAGAATCTCCCTCTGGGAGGTGGAGGCAGAAAAAGTCGAACTGGTTTGACCGAAATCCCATTCATCCGGAAGGAGCTGCGAGGGCTGAAGGCAGGGGTGGAGGATGGGGAGAATGGAGCTTTAGAATGCACGCAGGCAGGCCCTTTGGATGAGGGTCACCATTAGTTGTCCTTGTCTGAGGCCTCGGTAAGGGAGTGGGCGGCTGCACACCTGTCATCACAGCGCTCCGGAGGCCGAAGGCAGGCAGGGCTGCACAGGCCGGCCTAGGCCGACAAGACTAGGGTAGAGGCTGGCGACAAGGAACGGCGCGGTTTGCCAAGGGGGTAACCTCGCGAATGGGCAGAGTTCGGTGACCAAGCATCCGGGGGCGGGTAGGAAGAGGTCACTAGGGGTCATGGCTTCCTGCCAAAGGCTGGAGTCCCCCGGGGGGAGGGGTGGCCACTTTGCAGTCGGGAATCCGGGGACCTGGCAGCAAGCTTTGAGATGTCAGAGGTCTGTGCGTGGGCAACTGGGAGGAGCAGAGTCCGTGGAGGAGGCCGGAGATGGTGCCCGCGGGGCACAGCCGCCCCCGTGGGGCCCTACATGGCCCCACCCTCCTGCCAGGCCTTGGGAAGGAGACTACGCTGGCGGCAGCTGGGCGTGGAGATCTTTCCTGGAGTCTGATTCCAGCCCCACCCACGGCCACCTAGACCTCCCCGGTGTTACGCGGGGCCGGTGAGCCGCTTAGCCTGCCAGGTGGGGGGAGGACGCCCCGGTGCAAGGCTAGCTGGTTCCCCGGCTCAGTCCCTCCCGGCTCTCCTCTATTTCTGTCCCCCATCCAGGCCCCTCTATTTTCGTCCCTTCTCTGGCTGCCCCACCCGTTCCCTCCCCTCCCCCACTTCCGCCCCCCTCTTTCACCCTTCCCCCTCCTCACATTCCAGCCTCCGCCCCCGCCCACAGCCTTCGGGCCAGCTGCTGCTTCGGGTGTCCAGGGGACAGGACGGGAGATGGGTTCTGCCCCGGGTCAGAGGTCCTCCTTCCTCGGAACGCACGCCGACCCAGCCTGAGAGGGTGCCCCTAACCCTGCTGGAATGTGGGCGGGACCGGACCCCATCGCAGAAGGAGGTCACCCCTCACCCCAGCAGGCAGCCGCAGACAGCTGTCTTGCCCCACAAGACTTGAGCGGAACACCACCAATCGGAGGGAGGCCTCCACGAAGCTGCACCGGCCGGGAGCCTTTACTGAGGACCGAGCCTCCCCGTGCACAACCCCCACCCAGGAACCCGACCATGACCCCACACTTTGGTTATTGCACATCCCGAAGTCTGCATGTCCCAGGGGTATAAGACAGTCTTAGCTGCTTCCCAAGTGAGTGAGAGGTCGGAGACTTTGAGTTCAAGGCCAGCCTGGGCAACTTAGTGAGAACCCCCCCCCACACACACACACACACACACTTGAAAAGTAAGAAGCAGGTGGGGTTCTGTGGCGCTGGCATAGCTTGTCTGTAGTTCTGTGTACCCCAAAGGAAACAAAGAAAAAGAATTGGTGTTTTTTTTTTTTTTGGTTTTTTCGAGACAGGGTTCCTCTGTGGCTTTGGAGGCTGTCCTACTCGCTTGGTAGTCCAGGCTGGTCTCGAACTTACAGAGATCCACCTGCCTCTGCCTCCCGAGTGCTGGGATTAAAGGCGTGCGCCACCAACGCCCGGCTTGTTTTTGTTTTAAGTTGGCGTATTTCATGAGTCTGAGTGTGTGCTCATGCCTTCTGGCCGCAAGCGGACTTAAGAAGACTTCTGTCTGATACCCTGGGACTGCAGTTACATACAAGTGATTGAGAGTAACCATGTAGATGTTCGGATTCAAACCCAGGTCCTTTACAAGAGCAGCCAGTGTGCTAACTTCTGAGTTGTCTCTCCAGCCCCTAGTTGGGATATCTGCCCAGCAACTAGTACTTGAGGTACCCAGGAAAAAAGGCAACACCCTCCCTCAAACTCACCACAGTCACCAAAGAGAAGCAGGGGACCTCCCTGTCACTGCCGTGTGACCAGTCTCTGTCATTTCCCGGTGCAAAACAGGAATATTTGTTGGGGGACTATCCACAGATGTGCCCTTAGAAGGTGACTAGCTTTTGTAAGGCTGTCATCCCAGAACTTGGCACTTGAGAGGTACAGGCCGGGGGACCAGGATTTCTAGGTCACCCTCCACCACATAGAGACTTCAGGGACGATCTAGGGTTCTTGAGATCCTGTCTCGAATCGACGATACAAAAGTCTTGCAGAAATGTTAGAAATACACACAGACTCAGGCCGTTAAGTGACAGCCAGAGAAAACAGCATGGAGGAGACACAAGAGTGCCCTTGATCCAGGCCCTTTCAGACCCTGGAGGCTCCCCAGATGCGACTCTCTTCTCAGAGGAAGCAACGGGGCCAGAGAGGCGTTGGGTGCTGCCTACCCAGACAGCTGGGCCCATTGGCTACAGCTGACCCTCTGTGGCTGGGTGGACAGGTGCTCCAAGGGTTCAGGGACCGGCTGCTTGCACTGGGACCCTTCGGGCATCCTCAGGTTGACAGATGCTTCATGACCTGTGAGGTCCGCAAGCAGAGGAAGCACTGCAGGCCACCAGCTCCAGGCGGAAGCTGCTCCGCTGCCTGTGTTTCCAGGGAGGCTGTTTGTGTGTTACCCTGCGTGGGAGGCTGTGTGTGCCACAGTGGGTATGTGCTTGGACATACTGTGAGTGGGTGGGGCAGAAGAGGGGTGATTCTCTCTGGCCCTGGGGTGATAGGAGTGGTAGAGGCCCCTGTTAAGCAGCTTCTGAGGACCCCTAGGAGTAGATGCCCTGCAAACCCTCCCATCCCTGCTGCAGTCTTAGAAACCCAAATAGGTCATTTGCCAGGCAGATGAGCCGCCTAGCTTCTGGGTTCTTCTGGGCCTCACTGAGGGCCATCGGTGTTTTTTGGGCATCCGATACAGACCTTGTGGATGAGTGCATGTCACTGCATGTTCCTGCTCCAAACCGCCTTTTAGCTCAAGGGCACTGTTTCCTGGTCCCAATAGTTTATCGAAGACAGGGAAGAAGGTATGGGAATCCCACAGGGTCTCTCCAGGGTGTAGGCAATTTGCCAGATGCCAAAGGCATGTCGAGTTTGTGACTGTGAGCTTGATGGGTCTGCAATAGAGGATGTGGGTGTGCACGTGCGTAGCATGGCTTGTCATAAGATGTGTGTGCTAGCTGGGATGTCCCTTTGCTGTTCAATGCCCAGGTCTGGGCAGGAGCCTCAGGGGCCTGGCCTCCCAAGCTTTCGCATTCCCATTCCTGGGGTGTGACTCAGGGTTGCAGGGAGGGATGAGTCACAGGAACTTGGGCCTAGCCAGCCAGCCCTGGCCGCAGACCCCTTCCAGACTCGGAGTCCAGTTCCTCTGGGTGGCAGGAGTCCAGACCTCAGACACCTGGGGCTTCCTGAGGGATCCGAACCCACCCAGGAAAAGGAAAAGGCAAGCTTAACTCTTAGAGCTGGCTCTGGGGTTTAGCTTCACTAACTGGGAGGCCGGGTGTCTGTGACACAGCTCTCATGCCCACCCCTGAACATGAGTCATGCTATAGGTGGCTACATTAGCACCCACCCCAGTCACGCACACCTAGCCCTGCCCTGCACATCCGTATCCCTGTGGTGATCACGCTCTGGCACCCTGTCCACCCACCCTGTCCTTAGGGAATCAAGTCAGCCGTGCAAATATGGCCACGTCCTCTTCACACACATGGGACAAGCCCGCTTCCCTTGTCCATGGGAGTCTGATGTTTCTCCAATCCTCACGGGTCTCCTGCCCACGTGCACACATGTGCGGCACACCTGGCAACACACACACACACACACACACACAGGCTGCATCCTCCACCCTGGCTCGGATCCCCGAGGGCGGGCACCGGGTTTTGCCATCACAGTCACACTAGTGCACCCCCGCCGGGCAGAGGCCAGGTGCAGTGTCCCTGGTCCCCGCCCGGCTGAGAAGGGGGCGGTAATTACGTGGCCCCAGGGTGCCCCCCACACACACGCGCCTTTCATCCCGGGCCACGCCCCGCCCGTCCCCAACCCAGACGCTCATTACAGCCTCCCGCCCGGTCATTAGCCCGGGTCGGGGGAGGACCCGGCGCAGGGGGGCGCGGTGTCCCTCATTGTCTCCATAGCGACGCCCAGCGGTGGAGTTGGGTTCCAGGGACCACGGATAGAGTGGGCTCGCCTTCAAGGGATGCAGGTGCCACCTTGCATCCCTTCGGATTTATATAAGACAGTTGTGATCTAAGACGGCCCCTCGTGGGTGCATACACGATGGAGCCGATGGGTGACTGCTTGGCCAAGTGCGCTGCCCTGACTCGCGGGAGAGAACCTCGAGCGTGGAGCCCAGCTGTTCTGGTCCCTGCAAGGTGGGCACGGCGCTGCTAGGCCGGCACTATCCTGGTCTCTGTCCACGATGGCTGTCCAGAATGGCGACGTCTAGTGGCCTTAGGGCGGCCAAGAGCCTGACGGCCGCACAGAAAGAAGCGGGACATCGGTCTTGAACGCTCCAGCCGAGTCTGCAGCGCCCTCTCGTGTCCGTCCCAGGCAGAGAGCACCATTTTGAAGCAGGGGTTCACAGCCTGGGTGGAGAGAGAGAGAGAGAGAGAGAGAGTGTGTGTGTGTGTGTGTGTGTGTGTGTGTGTGTGTGTGTGTGTGTAGAAAGAGAGAAACAGACAGACAGACAGACTGCCACCCAGTTATGTGGACACAGGTAAGTGCACCGGGACATACATTCCTTAAACACAAGTACACCAAAGATTCGAGAGATGCTCATTAGAGCCATGTTCATGGGTCACGTATTTGCATGTTCTTCTGGGGATCCGAAAAGGCCCGGCCCAAAGGATCTGGTTGGCAGTAAGCTTAAGTGGGTGCTGGTTGAATGAACGAATCAATGAATGAATACAGCGATTCCCAAAACCAGGAGCTAGAAGGTCTCAGAATGGGAATGAGACCAGGGGCCCAGCATGACCCTGGCACAGGGGATTACAGGAATCCAGTTTCCCCTGGGGGACACATGGGGGGGGCTGCCTGGTTCTGGTTCGCCTGGCCTGTGGTGCAGCACGCCCCCATGCAGGGTCCCCTCCCCTCTGGATGGTGCACATGGAGGGGAGGGAAAACATGAAGCCTGCTGGTTTCTCTGCTCTCTTTAATACCATCCTTGCGTGAGTGGCTGACGTGGCAGGCTGCTCTGACGGTGATAGGAGGGTTGAGTGCGGGGACAGAGGTGCGTGCGGAGGGGGTGGCCATGAGTCACCTGCTACCGTCTAGGAGGAGGGCAGCATTGGGTCCCTGAGGAGAATTCCTGGAGACAGATGGGACACCTCGACCAGCCTCGTCCAAGGGTCAGTGAGCTTGGGGCGCAGAGCAGGGCTGGCGTGCTTTAGTCCTCTCCGTCAGCTTCCTTCTCTCCAGGGGCCAGTGCTCATCTAGGGAGAGGTCTGCACTGGCCCCTGCCTCAGTCAGTGCGGTGGGCAGAAGACGCTGGCGCGGCGATGGGTCGGCTGCCTTAGTTAGGGTAAGGATCCTTGCAGGTTGCTCAGGTCTCATGACCCTCCAAACCAGAGTGAAGTGATTGATGACCTGCTGTGGCAGCTGTTAATGGTGTTATCCCAGGTACTCAGGAGGCTGGGGCTACAGAGTTCAAGGACAGGCAGGGAAAGAAAGGGGCTTAGTGGTAAAGAGCACTGGCTGCTCTTGCAGGGGACCTGGGTTCAGTTCTTAGCACCCACGTGGAGGTTCACAGCTGTCTGTAACTCTGGTTCCAGAGAATCCGACACAGTCTCTGTGTGTACAGGGCAAGCAAAACACCCATACATATAAAAATGCAGCTCTGTGTCTCATATGTGTGGTTTGTTTGTTTGCTTGTTTTTGAAACAGGGTTTTTTTTTTTTCTGTGCAGCGCTGGTTGTCCTAGAATTCACTCTGTAGACCAGGCTGGCCTCGAACTCACAGAGATCCGCCTGCCTCTGCCTCCCGCGTGCTGAGGTTAAAGGTGTGTGCCACCAACACCTGGCTCATAAGAAGGTTAAGGACACAGGCCTGTGTAGTTCCTGCCTAGAACCCTCCATTAAGGGGCTGGATGTGGTCAGAGGTGAAGGCCCCCAGAGCCCCTAGGGGGCATGGTCAGGGATGGAGCCCCTTCAGGTGGCATGCTTGAGGCTCTGCGAGTGTGCAGGAGGGCGGTGCGTGTGATGATGTGCTCTTGGTTGGGGTGGGCAGAGGCCGGCTCAAACGGCAGTTACCTGTGAGCAGGTTGAGGTTTGCAGGCAACCTGGGTTGGGTGGAGGAGGAGAGAGTACTGGCAGTGTGGTTAACACTGGATGGAAGGGAATGTCCGGGAGCCTTGGGTCCAGTCATTAGGCGTCATTTGTTTTGGGAGGCACTTTTGTGTTAGGGGATTAGTGGGCAAGAGCAGAGGAGAGGGGCCAGCGAGATGCCTCAGTGGATAAAGGGGCTTGCTGCTAACCCTGAATTTGATCCTCGGGATGGAAGGAGAGACAACAGAATATTGTCCTCTGGCTTTCACACACGCACTTCAGCTAAATAAATGTAATTTAAAAGAGCCGGGCGAGGCCGGGCGTTGGTGGCGCACGCCTTTAATCCCAGCACTCGGGAGGCAGAGGCAGGCGGATCTCTGTGAGTTCGAGGCCAGCCTGGTCTACGAGTGAGTTCCAGGACAGCCTCCAAAACAATACAGAGAAACCCTGTCTCGAAAAACCAAAAAAAAAAAAAAAGAGCCGGGCGTTGGTGGCGCACTTGGGAGGCAGAGGCAGGCGGATCTCTGTTCCAGGACAGCCTCCAAAACAATACAGAGAAACCAGATCTCAGAAACCGAAAATAAATAATAAATAAAATATTAAAAAGAAAAAAAAGAAGTGTGAAGGCGATATATCAAGGTTAGAGTCATATTTGGGAGTCCCATTGAGGTAGCAAGTGTTCTTAAAAGCAGTGCCTTGAAGCTCTTTGTTCGTCGCCGCCGGCCAACCGGGTGGGGAGCTAGGAAGTGGGTCAACCCCGCCCCGAAACGCGCTGTCCCCGCCCCCTCCCCCGCCCCAAGCGGGCGGGAGAATGCGGCCGGAGCACATCCCAGCCAATCAAAACGCTCAGCGCCTCCGGGCGGGCAGGGGCGAGGCCGGGATAGTCCCGCCCCTCCACCCAAGCGCCGCTGCCGAATCTGGCGCGTCCGATTGGACAGATCGGCGTAGTGGGCGGAACTAGGGGCGTGGCCGAAGGGGTGGGGTATATCAGGCGGGCCTCGGCGTCGGCCCCTCGCACTCGCGCGTTAGGAGGCTTGGGTGTGTGTGGCGCTGTCTTCCCGCCCGCGTCAGGGACCTGCCCGACTCAGCGGTGAGGGCCCTGGCGGCACCGGCTCTGAGGGCCCGGGGCGGCGGGCGGCCTGTGACTCTCGGGCGAGGCGGAGCCGCCGTGGCACGCCCCTGGGATTTGGGGGCGGGCCCGGGTTGGAGTCCGCCCCGCCGGCGGCGAGGCGGGCATCGGGACACCGGGGCCTCACGCCTCTCGGAGGGAGTCCTCCACCGCGCGTCACCCCCGGGCCGATGCCGACTTAATGGTGGGCCTTGCCATAAAATGGCGGCTGCGAGGCTTTGAAAAGCTTCACCGGCGAAATGGCGGGAGTGCCGAGTGCCCGGATGGAATGGCGCAGGGTGCGCGCTTGGCGCATGCGCTGCTCCGGGGGCGGGGCGCCTAGCTTCAGAGCCCTGTTGTCGGCAGATGTGGAGCTGGGTCGCCCGAGACCCTCTACTCCAGCTGGCGTACCTCGGTTTCCTCTTCCTCGTGTGGCTGCACGTGGGACAAAAAGCACATGTGGTTTTGAGTTCTCCCTTTCGCCCCAAGTTTGTCCCAATGTAGAGTGGCCCAGGAATACTGTGGGGCACTTGTTATCCAAACATTGGGTCTTGGTCGTCCACAGCCAATAATGGCAGTTCAATGCCACGCCCCTTTCTATAGCCACGCCTCTCGGGCCCACCTTTCTCGAGTCCACCAAGCAAAAGCACTTCTCTAGTCCTTGGTTAAGGAGTGGCCACAGGTTGCATCCCATAACTGTCACACCTCCCTGACAGCACCCTAAAAGCGTATTTCAGTGATGAGGCTTCTATGACCAACAAGTCTCACTGGCGAGGGTAGGAAGTTGCTGTCATCTGTGTCCCCAACCACACACACACACACACACACACACACACCCTCTTGCGAAATGAAGAAATTTCCAGCATGCCGTTCTGTTGGGTGGTCCAGACTTTGGGGTCCTCTGGCCAGGGCTAATGGAGGGCCACTGCAGGCTGGAGTTGAGTTGTTTTAAGCTACAGAACCACCATTTAAGGTCAGCCCAGGTATATGACAAAGTGTTAGATGCGGGTTTGGGATGGTAAAAGCACAAGACTTCCATGTGTCGTGTTCCCACCCTGAAAGTACCTGTTTTCCAGAAAGGGTTTCTCTGTGCCTTTGGAGCCTGTCCTGGAAATCTGTATAACAAAACAGGCTGGTCTCAAACTCACAGACATCCCCCTGCCTCTGCCACCCAAGTGCTGGGACTAAAGGTGTGCCCACCATGCCCGGTGTGTTTATTTTTGACAGTGGGTAGCTCAGGCCGGTATCAGACTTGCTGTGTAGTTGGAAATGGCTTTAAATTTCTAATCCTTGTGCGCCAATATCCTAAAGACTGGGGTGACAGGAGTGTTTGGAAACAGTCTCCCAAGTCGCTCCACAGTCTCACTGATTGACCCACCTTGGCTTGAGTGGCTGGATGACAGGTGTGAAACCCCACGTATGGCTCTGGTTGCCCAGGAAGGTCAGGGATTACTTTTATATACAAAAGGAAGGAAGGAAAGGGGCAGGAAGCCCTTAAAGCTTTTAGTGACTGTCACCCTAGCACTAAAGCTCATGCAGGGTGTTCCAAGGCCAGCCTGGGCTATAAAGTGAGGTCATGCCTCACAAACTAAAAAAGGTTGAGTGTGCTATCTGGCTTCAGTCCCCGGAGGGGCTTAAGGCAAAGCAAGTATCTGTGGTGTGTGCACAGGCTGCCATGGCATCAGATGAAGGCAAGCTTTTCGTGGGAGGGCTGAGCTTCGACACCAATGAGCAGGCGCTGGAGCAGGTCTTCTCCAAGTACGGGCAGATCTCTGAAGGTGAGGCTTGGGTGGGGAGCACTGCTCTTGGTTCTGCTCTGGGGCAGACTGGTAGAGCTGATGACTCTCCCTTGCAGTGGTGGTGGTGAAGGACAGGGAGACCCAGCGATCCCGAGGCTTTGGGTTTGTCACCTTTGAGAACATCGATGACGCTAAAGATGCCATGATGGCTATGAATGGGAAGGTGAGGGCCAGGTCAGCCAGTTTGGGTTGCACGGGTCTGGTGTAGAATGGGCTCGGCTAACCCTGCCTGTGTCCGGCAGTCTGTGGACGGACGGCAGATCCGAGTTGACCAGGCCGGCAAGTCCTCTGACAACCGGGCCCGAGGATATCGGGGTGGCTCCGCTGGAGGCCGAGGCTTCTTCCGTGGGGGCCGCAGTCGGGGCCGTGGGTTCTCCAGAGGTGAGTGTTGGGGGGACTCGTGCGGGCTGTGGCACTGCTACAGAGGCTCGTTGACTGTCCTGTCATCTACAGGTGGAGGAGACCGAGGCTATGGAGGTGGCCGCTTTGAGTCCCGGAGTGGGGGTTACGGAGGCTCCAGAGACTACTATGCCAGGTGAGCCGATGGGAGCCCCAGGGAGGTGGCTCAGCCTTGGTGGCAACAGCAGGGCCAAGGCTAAGAGCAAAAGATTGCCCCCGCTGAAGGGCGCAGGTGTTTTCTGTTTTGTTCTCTGCCGAGCACCAGCTGGTGCCAGGGCCTCCCATACAGGGCAGGCAACTCCCCCAAGGAGCCCACCCCCGCCAGCTGTGCCTGAGTGTTGCCGCATGCCCTTCCACAGCCGGAGTCAGGGTGGCAGCTATGGTTACCGGAGCTCGGGCGGGTCCTACAGAGACAGCTACGACAGTTACGGTAAGTCTGGCTCCATGGAGGCCACTCAGGTGGCCTGCAGTTGGGCTTGGTGAACCCTGGTGCCCTTGAGAGCAAGTTAGGTCACTCAGCCTGGGGTGCAGCTCCCAGAACGGCCGCACAGGACAGTGGCAGGTGCATGGGACCCTGTGCCACCTCCGGTGCGGGCGGAGCCCTAGCTAAGTGACTTTACACTGTGCCGCTTCTGTCCTCAGCTACACACAACGAGTAAAAGCTCTGCGTCCAGATCGTCCTTCCATGCTGTAATTAAGATGGGGGAGCTTCGCTGAACGTTGTGTAGTGAGCACCTTGTCCCCTTTTGTAGTCCTCTCGTTGTGACATCAGCAGCCCGCCTCTGACCAGATGGCCTCGTGACCACACTTTTCTTTTTAAGCGTTATAAAAAACGTTTTGGAAAGCACTTGAGATTTTACTTTTTTTACCATGAGCCATGGGGTTTCTGTTTTTTTCTAAATTGTCGGGGTTGTGTGGGTTTTTGGTTACTTGTTTTTGGTTTTTCGGGTTTTTCGGTTGTGTTGTTGTTTTCCTTTTTGTGTGGTCGCCATGAAGCCTGGCGCCCCCTACTTCCTGAGATGAAAAGGACTCAATTTGAGCAAGCCATGGCTCCCCAGCTCCGCTGCAGAGCGCAGCAGGTCCCGCCCATCGGGCACAGGTCATGGCCCGAGGGACGTGTGGCTGTCCAGGAGGCTGTGGAAGTGTTTATTTATATTGTCCTTTTTTACCGAAGACATGCATACTCCATCGATGTTGTATTCAGTGGCTGAGGAATTCTTGTACGAAGTTTCTTTGGCTTCACGAAGCCGATTAAAAGACCGTGTGAAACGAACCTCACTCTGACCATTTCCCTTTCATTGCCGACACTGAGCTGCGGCTCCGCGGCCAGCAGAGCAGCTAGGAAGGCAGGGCAGTGCGGGAGGCGCGAGCAGCCACGTGGGAGCAGGAGCGGGCAGTGTTGAGGGTAGCGGGCGGCAGAGGCCTCGGCCAGCCTAGGGCCGTGTGCAGGCAGGGCCAGCGAGGCTGCCTAGCGGCTGCGCCCCGCCAGTTCCAGGCATTCTCTGCTAGCCTCCGAAGCCGCAGCCCTCGGGGGACAGACGCGAGCCACAGACCCTCCAAGACTCGCCTGCTGCTCCCCCCGCTAGCTCTGTGCAGCTGGCCTGTGCCTCGAGGTAACACCTTCGCTCGCTCGTGTCGCATCCCTCCGGTTTATAGCTCACTTGGACGGAAACGTAGGCCTGGGGTTGACCTTTGCTTCCTGAAGTCGAGTCAAACTGCCGGTCCCACGGCCGCCAGGGCCACCGGGCGCCCGCCTTTGTGGTCATGTTTTTCCTTGCTTGACAGGCGTCAGACCTGCAGCGTCTGCCCAGAGTCCGTGAGGCTGCTGCGGGACAGAGCCCGGCTCTGCTCGAGGCGGCCGCGAGGGTGGGAGCGGGGAGGCGGGGGGGCGGGCGGGGGCGGGCGGGCGCTGCAGAACCCCGGGGACGCCGAGGTCACGCGCCTGTGTTTGGCAGGGTGAAGGAGCGCCAGGCTGAAGCGCGGAGGATCTGCGGCTGACTGTCGTCCTCGAGGGCTCCCGGGAGCCAGAGCGACCGCGCGCAGTGGCCTGGTGAGTGCGCGGGGCTGGGGACCCCGGAGCCGGGCTGCTGGCCTTTGCTGACCCAACTCTCCGTCCTTCCTTCCAGGCACTTCCGAGCTGACAGCCACTTCCGGGCGGCGCAGCGGGCCTGCAGGACCACAGTGGAGCTGGGGCTGGCGTGGTGGCCGGGGCAGAGCGTTGGGGGCTGTCTGAATAAAGGGCTGTGATCCAGAACCCCGACTGTGTTGCTTGGGCCGGGGCGCGGCGGGAGCGGGGACGACTCAGGCCGGGAGGCGTCCTGACGCCCAGCCGTCTCCGCCAAGAGCAGCGGGCGGGCGCGGGGCATTGTGGGCGGGGCGGGGCTCGCTCACTTCCGCCTCGACTCCGGCATGGCTCCGCGCACGCTGCTGCTGCTGCTGCCGCCGCTCCTCTCGTGCGCCATCCGCGGCTCCACCGAGAACTCCAGCTGGCCAGCTGTGCCTCGCAACTATACACGAGGGGGGCCCCCAGGCACCGGCCCCATGCTGCTTCGCTTGTTCTACGTAATCACCGGGCTCAGCGGCCTGATCTCGCTCTACTTCCTCATCCGGGCTTTTAGGTGCGTTAGTGCGTCCAATCAGCATCTAGTAAGTCACAGGGCAGGGGGCACGTGACTCGGCGGGCGACCCAACTCTTGTTCCTGACTCCTGTGGTTTCTAGAGCGGCCTAAGTGGGCAGCGGCCTCAGTTGGCCATCCTCCACCCTCGGTCTCCAGGGCTGCGGTGACAGGCGCACAGACAACCGCGCCGGACTGCGGGGACGTCAGACGTACTTCCCTGGCTGAGGCTCAGTGGGCAAAGATTGCGCCTAACGTGCACAAAGCCCGGGTGTCGATCCCAGCACTGCGTGGGGATAGCACGCCTGTCATCTCAACACTTGGGAAGTGAGGACAGGAGCTAAGGGTCACCTGAGCTAGAGAATTAAAAGATCAGCCTGAACCACAGACACTGACTCAAAGAAAAAACCAAAGCCTTCGGTCTTGTTTCTCTCCTAGCTGCTCCGTCGGATAGCAGTGTGTGCTCTAAATAGGAAGCTGTGGTTGGCGTGGGCCTCCGCAGAGCTTTCACCGTGCCCAGAGCTGCCCACGTAGCTCCCACAGCGAAAGGACTCGTATCGTGCCTTGGACCTTGGGGCGGGTGGCACGGGTCCCATGGGCTGCAGGTCAGCAGTGATGGTAGCCGCTGAGTGTGTGTACCCCTTGCAGACTCAAGAAGCCACAGCGGAGGCGGTATGGGCTTCTGACCAGCACAGAGGAGCACGAGGAGATGGCCTCTCTGGACAGCGAGGAAGAGACTGTCTTTGAAACCAGGAATCTGAGATGGTAGGGAGGCCTTTCTTGACGCAAGTTAGCAAAAGACCATGTCTCTAGGGCTCAGGGTCCACCCTAGAAGGTAGAACCTTTGCTTAGGATCCCCAAGTGAGGGGCTGGGAGTGTGCCAGGGAGGCGAGGGTCATTGGGAACAGGCGCAGAAGGAGGGCACACAGGAGGTGGCATGGAGGACAGAGAGAGGAAGGTGGCAGCGGGCTTCTCATCAGGGCTGACTGTCGTGGTGGTGGTGGTGGTGGTGGTGGTGGTGGTGGCGGTGGCGGTGGCGGCGGTGGCGGCTGTAGGGCCAGGATCCGCCTGGGCACCCCTGAAGGAGGTGGACACCAGCTTTGGCGTCTTCTGTGGTCCTTTCTCCCTATCCTGGTGGACCCGGAAGGGGCCCCTGCAGCCATCACCACTCAATCCCAGATCTTGTCCTGTCCCTCCCCACGCAGATACTGAGGTGGGGGTGACAGGCTGCGAGGACAAGAGAGGACGCGTGCTCTGTGAGCTCTGATGTCAGCCAACCTGGAGGGACACTGGGCCAGGACAGACTTGGGGCTCCCTGGAGCTGGACCCACCTGTGCTGCTCTGTCGTCCCGCCTCCCGAAGGGACAGGGCAGCCCTGCGAGGCAGGATGGACCTTGGGATCTCGATGTGCATCTTCCTGCTGCTTTGGGGACAATAAACGAAGCAATGGCTTTGTAGCTGACCTGCCCCTGCCCCTTGACTCCACACCCAGGCGTCCTGGTGAATGGGTGGAGGTTGTCATCCCGGACTGCCTAGGACAAGGCCCTTCCTGTCGGGGTCACTGTCTCTAGAGAGACCTACTCACTTCTCAAGACTGTTCCAGCGCTGCAGCTATGGCACTCTGCTCAGGGTAATGGCACCTGGGGCAGAGTTTCCCAGGAGCTTCTGGGGTGCAGTCAACATTAGCCATTCACCCTCACCTGTGATCTTAGCTTTGGCGAAGAGGGGCAGGCATGCCTGAGTCCCAGTCTACTCTGCCTCGTCACAACAGCTGCCACCAGGTGGCAGTCACACACCACCTCGCCTCCCAGGACCACACCAGTTACTCTGGGAATACCTCTTCAGAACCCCAGCCTCCCTGTCCTCATGGGTGGCCTGGATTCGTTGTTCAGCTCCTGTCCCGTGGACACCCAGTGTTAGCCCACTTCCAGACCCCACTGACCCTCCAGCTGGCCTGAGTCAGGTGTCGGAGACTGATTGCCTGGGCCTACTAGGAGTATTGGTGTCAGGCTGGGTGGCCACCCGTTTTCATGCCGTGGTCTAGATGGGGAGCCTAGCCAGAGCCCGCCCCTGTCTGTCTCTGCCTGTCCCTCCAATAGCTGGGTTCCTGCTCAGCTGGGCCTGCTGCCCAAAGGAAGCCTCTGCAGTCTGCACCCCCAGCCTGTACCCAGGGGAAGCCAGCGCTCGTGAGGCACGGCTCTGGGGGCCCTGTGCCCTCTTGGTCACTCTTACATTTTATGTCGTGTCTGCTGGGATGGACCTGCTTTCCGGTCCCCCAAACTCTGTGATCTGCGCCCCTGGTCCCACAGCTCAGTCATTGCTGGAGCTTCAGAAGGCAGGGTGATTAGTCTAATGAGGTCAGGAGAGACCCAAGCCCCTGCCCCAGCCTCCGCTCGAGCTCAGGGAGGGTGGCCCCGCCACACCACCCGCCTGTCAGCAGCCACCACACCCCGCATTAGCACGGATAATTGGCAGCTCCGTCAAGGTTAATGCACTATTAGCTGGCGTTCTGCACAGCTGAAAGCCAGGGGAGAGGCCTGTCAGGCAAGATGGAAGTCCTTGGGGCCTGGCCAGCCTGCTTGTGCATGAGGTGTGAGTGTGTGTGCCTGGGTGGCTCCCAGCCCCAGATACACACACAACGGGGGCAGGGGCTTGAACTCAAGATGCTGTTGCCGCCTGTACCCATCCCGAATCGGAGCCCTGGCCTGGCAGAAGAACATGGCAGGTAAAGCTGTCTGCTGCCTTGGTCAAAGGAGAGAAGTGAGTCCTGTAAGGCGGCCTGACTGCCCCGACACAATGTGCACAAAATAAAAAGCCAGGGCTCTCCTGCTGTCCCCAGTCCTGGCCTCGGGCAAACGGGGCCTCTCAGCGGGCCCCACCCTAGCCATTCCACTGAGTACACGGTGGATGTCACTGACCAATTGCATCCCCCTGGGAAGTCACGGTTCATAGCTGCGGCCCCAGTTGCATAAAGCCGGCCAGGCGCTCTGAGATCTTAGTAGGGCTCAGCCTAGCATTGGTCTCTCCCCTAGGGGGCCCCGGCAGGCGCTGGAGTTGCAGGGGAACGGGGCACATCTGTCTGATGGGACTTGGACCCTCTTGTAGGGAGCTGGGTTTGGGGCCAGGCCAGGGCCTTGGGCAAGAGGGGAGAGGAAGATGATGGGCAGGAGGAGCTACAGGAGAATGAGGCAGGGAAGACATGATATGTGGGAGCTGGGCGTTGGTGGCACACACACACCTTTAATCCCAGCACTGGGGGGGCAGAAGCAGGAGGATCTCTGTGAGTTCTAGACCAGCCTGGTCTACAAGATTCTTATTTCAAAATGGGTGCCTATTGCTGCACCTGGGCAGGCCACTCACCCTGTCCTTACTCTGCGGGTGGCCAGCTGGCAGGGGTCACTCATGGAGTCCATATCCCATGTACCCGCCCCCACCCCGTCCTGCCTCAGCTCAGGTGGGCAATTTGGTACAATTTATTCTGTAATGAGAAATTCTTCCCTGCATATTTTTAGCCTCCTGCCTGGCCATGTGGCATTTGATGGCTGTGGGGCCTCCAGACAATGAGATCAGGAGCCTGAGGCCTTGCTTTGTGCACCAGAGTGGCCATGGGTGACCAGCCGAGGCTGCTCAGTGCACACTAGGTTAGGCCAGGGCCATTAAAATGTGGATCAGATAGGGTGGAGCATAGCCTGAGCACACAGCCCCAGGAGAAGGATGAAGGGCCAAGTAGCTAGGCCAGATCTCCACCCCTGACTCTGGTGACCCCTGACCTGCCCTGACATTTATCAGGCCCCTGCCTCCCATAGTCTCCAAAGCAGGGTCTGGTTTCCAGTGACCACTGACCCTGTGGACTGGGGAGGCTGCTCCGGGAGGAGACAGGGCTTCAAGGGTCGCTGTCATTGTCATGGCCAGGCAGGGTTCCCTGGAACGGCCTCCCGATCTCTCCTCATCAGGAGCCAGGAGCGACCGGCGGGCTCGGGAGGCAGAGTGGGGGACAGCTGCCTTTGTTCCTGTCCCCGCTCCGGATCTGACCTTGAGACAACAGACAAGAACAGAGCTTTCTGCTCAAATCCACTGGCGGCAGGCGGCTCTCAACTCGGTGGCCCCAGCATGCAAATGAGGCCTGGGGATGTGGCCTCCTTGCTAGGTGTCCTTGTGACGGGCTGCTGAACCTAACACCCAGTCTAGTCGATGAGACCCCATCTTGGCTCCTTCCTCTTTCCAAGGTGGGCAGGTGCTCAAGTCCCAGTAGGGCAGCCTCCAGACGCTCACCTTTATGGGCAGAAAACAGTTTGACATGTGACCCTGTGCTCTCCTGTGGGTGCCACCAGAGCCTGCCCTGGGGATCCCAGAATCCCTGAGCAAAACATGTCCTGAAGAGGGACTGCAGAAACAGGGATTCCAATGGTAGATTAGTGGGGAACTTCCAGGTCTGGTGTGTGTGTGTGTGTGTGTGTGTGTGTGTGTGTGTGTGTGTTGGGAGGATGGGGCTTGGAAACTTGTCACAAAAGGCACATACATGAGTTCTATTCCATCCTGGCCTTTTTTTTTTTTTTTTTTTTTTTTTTTTGGTTTTTCGAGACAGGGTTTCTCTGTGGCATTAGATGCTGTCCTGGAACTCACTTTGTAGACCAGGCTGGCCTCGAACTCACAGAGATCCACCTGCCTCTGCCTCCCGAGTGCTGGGATTAAAGGCGTGCGCCACCACCGCCCGGCATCCTGGCCTTTCTTGCCCAAGTAACATTGCCTATCTTTAGAGTCCTCCAGTCCGTGTACAGAGGAACCTGTTAGAATCCATGTGCTCTGGGCGGATCTCTGTGAGTTCGAGGCCAGCCTGGTCTACAAGAGCTAGTTCCAGGCCACAGAGAAACCCTGTCTCAAAAAAAAAAAAAAAAAAAAAAAAGAATCCATGTGCTCTGGGGTCCTGCACGCCTTGCTCTAGACCCAGCAAATGAAAACCAAACAAACTGCTCGGTGTGGTGGCTATGCCCTCCCCCAAGAACACCTTGTGATGGGGGCAGCGAAACACAGTTCCCAGAGTTCTGGAAGGGACTCCCAGAGGATGGAAAGCTAGGCCGGGTGACTTGAACTTCAGCTTTTTTTTCTGATACAGGGTTTCCTCAGGCTGACCTCGAACTCTCCTCTATGTAGCGGAGGATGACCTTGAATGTCGGGTCCTCCTGCCTCAGCGTCCTGAGTGCTGGGAGAACAGACCTGCACCACCACATCTGGCCTACGACTTTTTTCTTTCTTTTTTCTTTTTTTTTTTTTTTTTTTTTTTTGAGGCAGGTCTCACTCTACAGCCTAGGCTGGCCTAGAACTCGCAGCAACCCTCCTGCCTCAGCGTCCCGAGTGCTGAGATGCCAGGCGCGGCGCAGACCGGCCCTTAGCTCCAGTTGGCACAGGGCGGGGCCGCAGAGGGTCCGGCGCGCGCTCTGGGGGTTCCCTTCCCGATGCGGGTGGCGGGGGCGGGACCCTAGGGATCCGCGGCAGAGTCTGCGCGAGTCAGGCCGGGGCGGGGCTCGGCTGAGGCTTGGAGGGTCCGGGGCGCGGCGGGAGGGGGCGCCCGCGACCCTCCAAGGCGCTCCAGCGGGGACAAAGGCGAGGGGAGCCCCCGCGCCCGGGGAGCCCGGGAGAGCGCCTTGCGCAGTGCACAGTCCCGGGCATCTGTCCCGCGCCGCGACCGCCTCCCGCCGCCTGGTTTCTCGGCGCCCGCGGTCTCCGGCGGGGGCCGCGCAGAGGCGGGGCGGCGGGATCTCCAAGCGCGCGGTGCTCCGCCCGCTCGGCGGCGGAGGCGGAGGCGGAGACGGCGGGGCCAGGCGGCGGCCGGAGAGCGAGCGAGCGAGCGAGCGCGGCGGCAGCACCGGGGCCATGGCGCCCGCGCAGCGCCCGCTGCTGCCGCTGCTGCTGCTGCTGCTGCCGCTGCGGACGCGCAACGAAGATCCGGCCCGCGCCAACGCTGACCGCTACGCAGTCTACTGGAACCGCAGCAACCCCAGGTGAGCTCGGAGGGGGAACCCCCGGGGACCCCAAGAGGCCCCAGTCCTGGGGATTGCAGCGCACGGACCTCCCCCTGAACTTCAGGGGTGCCTAGTATTCCCTCCAGGGCTCCTGGACTTCAGGGGAAGCCCTCTGCACCCTCAGACGCTGGAGTTCCTTCGCTGGACTTGCACGGGGGAGACACCCTTGAACCCCTGGCCTCTTGGAGGAGGGAGCATCCTGGAGGGCTGAGAATTTGGTGGAGATCCCTGGGGACTTCCCTTACACCTGGGGAATCCACGGACGCAGATCTTTTGGGACAGGTTCCGAGAGTCCTATCTATGGGTCCCCGGATGAACTTGGGAAGTTGTAACGTCCCCTCTCTACCCCTCCGTTCGCTCCAAGGGGTGCTCCAATTCCCCAGACACTTTAGAGGAACAGGGGGGACCCCAGGCACCAAAGAGGGAGAGGTCAGTTTGAGGGGTGCAACCTGGGCATATTGTTTTCCACGTTTTTTAGCTGCTGGGGAAACTGGGGTGCAGGAGGGGGTGCAAGGAGGTGCTGCCTCAAGGTCATGGCCAGAGACTAGGAGCTGGGACTGGAGACCCTGGCGGCTGAGTGCCCAGGCTGCCACGCCCAGCAGAGGCACCCTGTGGGTCAGACCCTGCCAGACACCGAGTAGAAGCAGGGACACAGCAGAAACCTCGGTTACAGGCTGAGCGAGAAAAGTTTGGTGGCCACTGACCACATCCCGAGCAGTGTAGAGCCTTCTGCGTTATTACAGGGTCTCAGAGGTGGGTGTCGTCTAGAGGGTTTTCTGGAGACCGGCTTTGGGCTTTTTGAGACTTGGGTGCAGTGTAGTGCTGGTCGGTGAGGAACTAATCCGGCTGCATCAACCAGGATGCCCTCTTGATCCAAGCATGGAAAGTTCCATAAAGGCTGTGGGACGAGGACCACCAGTGTCTCTCCATGGGGGTGGGAGCTCCCTGACTGTCCCCTGCCATCAGGGCAGGACTGTGGGGTCTGGTCCCCTAGGGCTGAGGGCAGGAACCTCGGGGCCTTGCAGGACCCCGCGGGGCCCCCCCTCCACGCCTGCCCGCTATGCTGGTCACATGTGGGTTTGATTAAGACTCAGTGGCCGCGCAGGGAGCCGGGTGAACTGCGCTTCCTTGGCCTAAGTTTTCTGGTTTTAGCTTGCAGAGTGTCTCTGTCCCCAGCGTAGTCTGTCCTTTGTCTGGCAAAAAACAAGAGAATGGAGGAGACATGGGGACGAAGAGAAGGGGTCATGGCTGCCCCTGATGTCCCCACTTACCATGGGGACACAGGGCTGCAGGCTGGAACCCTGGCTCAGGAAGGAAAGAGGTATCCGCCATCGCCACCAGGGTCCAGTTCAGGCTGGCCACCTCCTGTTGCTGTGTGTTGGGACAGGCTGCCCGAGGGATAGCCAGCTAGAGGGGTCACAGAGCCAACCCGAGAGAGACAGAGAGAGAGAGAGAGTGTGTGTGTGTGTGTGTGTAGAGATTCTCGGGGATCCCTCTCTATTCCTCGGGTTCTTTTCTGTGGGTGACCCTGCTGGGCATCCCACAGCCGGGCCTGAGGACAGATAATCGCCGTGTTCCAAAGCCTTGTCATTGACACAGCAAGTGGGGGTCTCCACTGCTGTAGGGTCTTAACATTCAACGGGGGTTGATGGGTGGTTTGCACAGGAACAATTTCAGGCTGGCATCCGAGGGGACTTGGTTTGGGGGTACAGTCTGGGGAGCTGGCAAGATGGACATCCCAGCCTGGCGTGTGACACAGGATTGGGGGCTGAATAAGACAGAGGCACTGAGGGGGCGCTGGGACCCTGAGCACGAGTGTGGGTCACACACAAAAGACACTGAACAGAAGTGGGGGAGGGGCAGACCTGTCCCAGAGTACCCATGTCCACGTAGGACATGACACTTGTGTGTCTAGGAGGACACGGACACACACACCCACACACACACCAGCCACGCTCTCTGCTACCCGGCCAGTCATACCTGCCCAAAGGTGGTCATGTGATGGTTTCCTGATGGCAGTGGCTTTTCAGGGAAGCCTGGACACCCACAATGGGGCTTATGGATGGATCCCTGCACCCAATTGCCCAGGCACCCCCAAAAGCCCCCGTCCCACTTGCTGGACACCTGCCCTGACCTCTGGGGGTCTCTAGACCTGTTTCTAGCGGTCTCCTGCTTGCCGGGGCTTGCCGGGACACCCCACCCTGGGCATGAACCACTCAGCCGTTCCGTGGCCTAGCTGCGGCTCGTGGCTTTTGTCCAGCAGCTCCTGCACCTGTGTTCACAGAGTCTGCAGTGGCCTGTGGCTTTGCATGTGTCTGCGTGTTCTCAGCAACGGGGGAACCCGGGATATGTGTCTGCATGGAGCTAGCTGCCGCAGTGTGTGTGTATGTGATACAGCTGGGGTGATTTCACGTGTGCATGTGCATGTGCGTGTGTGTGTGATACAGCTGGGGTGATTTCACATGTGCGTGTGTGTGTGTGTGAGACAGCTGGGGTGATTTCACGTGTGCATGTGTGTGTGTGTGATACAGCTGGGGTGATTTCACGTGTGCATATGCGTGTGTGTGTGATACAGCTGGGGTGATTTCACATGTGCGTGTGTGTGTGTGTGTGATACAGCTGGGGTGATTTCACGTGTGCATGTGTGTGTGTGTGATACAGCTGGGGTGATTTCACGTGTGCGTGTGTGTGTGTGTGTGTGAGACAGCTGGGGTGATTTCACGTGTGCATGTGTGTGTGTGTGTGATACAGCTGGGGTGATTTCACGTGTGCATGTGTGTGTGTGTGTGATACAGCTGGGGTGATTTCACGTGTGCATGTGTGTGTGTGTGTGATACAGCTGGGGTGATTTCATGTGTGCATGTGTGTGTGTGTGTGTGATACAGCTGGGGTGATTTCACGTGTGCATGTGTGTGTGTGTGTGATACAGCTGGGGTGGTTTCATGTGTGCATGTGTGTGTGTGTGTGTGATACAGCTGGGGTGATTTCACGTGTGCATGTGTGTGTGTGATACAGCTGGGGTGATTTCACGTGTGCATGTGTATGGGTAATTGTGCAAGGGAGCGTGTATGCGCAGGCTAGAGTACGGGTGCACACACAGGTCTGTGTCGGGATGTGAGCCTCACCCATGTGTGTCCGGCTGTGTGGTGTGTGCCGAGGGCTACTGTGGGGACAGCTCTGTCCACCCGGGGTCGCCCACAGAAGCGGCCTTACCAGTTGCCGGTCGTCCCTGCAGACAGGCCATGAGGATCCAAAGCAAATGTCACACGAGATGCCCATTGCCTCCAGATATCACCTGCCTCTGAGACATTGCTGAGCCTGGCCAGGCTCTAGGAATGGGGCTATCTGGTGTCGCCTGCCAGGTGACCTCCATGTGGGCAGTAATGCTGTCTGTCACTCACTGGCCCAGGCCTGATGTCTGAGGCAGGTGCCTTCTCTGTAGCAGAGTGTGGCTGGATCCTGTCTCTGGCTCTGCCAGCCTCACTCTGCCTGAAGAGGACCTGGTCATGTGTTAGTCTTTGTGTTTTGCAAGAGATTGTGCTCCACCAGGCAGTGGTGGCGCACGCCTTTAACGCCAGCCGAGGCAGAGGCAGGTGGATCTCCGTGAGTTTGAGATCAGCCTGGTCTACAGAGCGAGTTCCAGGACAGTCAGGGCTACACAGAGAAACCCTGTCTCTAAAAACAAAAAGAGAGAGATTGTCCTCCAAGACTAGGGTGCTCGGAGTGCTAGGCAAGGGCCAGAGGGTTTGGATCTGAAGGCTTGGTGCTTGGCAGACCTTAGGGGAGTGGAGAACTATTGAGCACCTGTGTGGATCTGAAGAATGAAGAGGCGCTCGAGGTGCTCAGAGGGAAACTGAGGCCACTGCCAGAGAGAAGATGAGTGCCTTTGGTAGCGGATGACCCAGAAGGAGCCATCTGCTAACTGGGCATGAAGCTGAGGCAGAGGGATTGCTGTAAGTTCAGACTAGCCTGACCTACATGAAACCTTGCTTCCAAATAAACAAACAAACAAGTAAAAGGTCTGGGTCTGGGCTCAGCGGGAAGAGCCCTCCCAGTGGACAGAAAGCCCTGGGTTCCGTCCTGGAGCCATGGAAACCACGCGTGACGGTGAAGGCCCACCATCCCAACCCTGGAGAAGTGGTGGAAGGGAGTGCAGGGTCATCTTCAACTAGAGCGAGTTCGAGACCAGCCTGGGCTACATGAGGCCGTGTCTCTTCATGCAGGCATGCAGGTTTGACCCCTAGTCTCTCTTGCAGGCCTCTGGCACCCAGCACCTGTCCTTGCGGGTTTGCAGGAGACCTCATGGGTCCCTGTGTGTTGTCCTCGTGGGCAGGAGACATGCCAGCATCATCCCAATATGGTCTCTAAGACCTCTCCCTGTGTCGTTGTGTCTAAAGTGAACACTGGATAGTCATGGTTCCTGCTGGACTATGGGTCCCCATGTGCCTCTCACCTGGGTCCCCAGGAGAGGAGCTGGCAAGACCAAGGCCTCACTCAGTGTGAGAGGTCTCTGGGCGGTCATTAACCCCTTAGTGAATGGGTCTCCCGCCCTCTGCCTGCTTTTCTATGTCTCTAGACAGTGGGAAGATTCAGGTTTTGTTTTAGGGGTGGGCCCCCCTTTCCCAACACCCTTGCAGACACCAGCCAGTGCAAGGGTACGGTGCTGGCTCCTGGCTACTCATCTGCTTGGAACCAGGAATGCCAACACAGCAAGACTGGTGCAAATTTAGAGCCAAAGAGAGAGAAAAAGTGGAACACTTCACAGAATACGATACGGTAGGGGTGCCCCTGGAGTCCTCACCCCGCCCACCCTGGAGCTGCTCCCTGATGATCCCAAAGGCTTTTACAAAATTCACTTGTTCAAGCAACAAGCATCGATTGAGCACCACTGTATGCGGGGTCTGGGCTGGCCACAGTTGCAGAACAGGACACAGAAAACAGCTGTGGTTAATGGCAGGTGCCCCAGGGCCGAAGGACTGCTCTGGGCATGTGCAAAGTCCCTCAGGAGGAGACGGGACTATGGAGTGGGCGAGCCAGGGACGCGGGACCAAGGAGTTGCGTCCGGAGAGACCACGGGTCCTGTTGAGGTGCCAGGGAAAGATGGATGGTGTTGGACCTCTGAGTCTGGGGTCTGGTTTTTATTCAGAGCAGCTGGCGCAGATCTGGGGAGACCGTGAGTTGGCAGATTTTTTTCTATGGTCTCCTGAGGCCCACTGTCTGTAATTCTGTTAGTCCGTTTAGTCCGCGAGCAGTGAGTGTTGAGGGGCATCTGAGTGGGTAAGACAGTTTGCTGTTCACACAGGAAGACCCAAGTTCAAATCCCCAGAACCCATAGAAAGGCTGGGCCTGTCTCTGAGCCTCTGTAACCCAGTACTGTCTTAGGGCCCTGTCTCAGGAACAAGGGGGGAGGTAGCGTCCTTATCTGCATGTGCAGACAAACGGACGAGAAAATCTGGGGAGATGGCTCTCTAGATAAAGTGCCTCGGGAGCATCAGGACCCGAGTTTGATACCAACACCCACAGCAGGTGTGGTGGTGTGGGGGGAGGGGCTCCAAACGCTAAGGTGCAGACTGAGAGAGATGCCCTGCAGGTTCCCTTGGAACCTGTCACCCGCCATGGGGGATACACAGTGGATATACCTCTCCTGTTGCCGAGGATTACGCCTGAATGTGTGGGAAACTGGGGTTCCAAGAATCTGCCAAAGCCAGGCGGAGTGGCGCAGCCTTTAATCCCAGCACTCGGGAGGCAGAGGCAGGCAGGTCTCTGTGAGTTTGAGGCCAGGCTGGTTTACAAGAACTAATTCCAGTGCAGCCTCCAAAGCCACAGAGAAACCCAGTCTCGGAAAAAAAAAAAAAGAGTCTGTCGAGTCCACGGTTGAGCCATGCGGTGTGCGTGTTTTACGCTCCGGCCTCTCGGCTGCTGGGGCAGAAGCCTGGGAGCAGCAAGAGTAGCCTTCCCTGCTATGGTTCTTGATGGGGTCTCCTGTAGCCCAGGCTAGCCCTGGGCTGTCTGTGTGGCTGAAGATGACCTTGAGCCCCAGGACCGTCAGCCACCGCAGTGCTGTGCAGTGACCCCCCTCCAGGATGCACCTCCCTGTAGGGAGCTAGGCCTCAGTTTCCCCAGCTGTACTGGGAGGTGAAGGAGCCTCAGGCAGTCCCTCCCACTCCTAGCTACCAGGCTTTTATATGCTAATAAAGGTTCTCACAGGGCCCCCTCTGCCCCTCTCGGCTGGCAGCCTCTACATGACAGGGACCCCGGGGGACGCTCGGGGAGATCTGAGGGTTCCTGCTGCCATAGCCTGAGGCAGAGATGGGAGGGAACTGCTGTCCAACCCCACAGGCTAACCTCTGTCCTCTATGACACAGCTGGGTCAGGCCGGTCCCCCCAGAGGACAGTTGGGGCCGGCAGGGTGATTGCCTGGGCTGAGGCTGAAGGCAGGGCTGGGGTGGGGGAAATTCGATTGGCTGGGAGCCAGGGAACCCGAAAGAGAGAGAGATTGTGCAGCACTGTGGCTGTCCCTCATCCCCAGAGTCAGGAAGGTGGGGGCAAGAGGATTGGGAGTTCGAGGTTATCCTCGGCTACTTTGGGAGTTCAAAGCCAGCCTGGGTTACAAGAGATTCTGTCTCAAGAAGTTGTAAGAAGATGGCAAGGAACACCCTAGGGTCATCCAGTGTAGACGACTCACTTGATCTCTAGGTGCCTGCAAGATGGTTCAACCCTGCAGGAGGCCAGGAGGGGATCGGGTGCCCTTCCCTTCCAACCCTGCCTCCCTGCAGGGAAACCGAGGCTGAAGTTGGTGCCGGGCAGGGGTGGCGGGGATGGGGACCTTGCCAGTCTGTCTCGGCGCTGTCTGCTGACCAGCCCTCCCCCTGCAGGTTTCAGGTGGGCACCCTGGGAGACGGTGGCGGCTACACGGTGGAGGTAAGCATCAATGACTATCTGGACATCTACTGCCCGCACTACGGGGCCCCGCTGCCCCCGGCCGAGCGCATGGAGCGGTACATCCTGTACATGGTGAACGGCGAGGGTCATGCGTCCTGCGACCACCGGCACCGAGGCTTCAAGCGCTGGGAATGCAACCGGCCCGCAGCACCCGGGGGGCCCCTCAAGTTCTCAGAGAAGTTCCAACTCTTCACCCCCTTTTCCCTGGGCTTTGAGTTCCGTCCCGGCCACGAGTACTACTACATCTGTGAGTAGCCTAGGCTAGCACGTGGGGAAAATGAGGCAGACAGAGCCCTCCCGACTTTGTCCAACCCCACCGACCCACGACCCTGGGAGGAGGAGGAGGACGAGAGGGAGGGACCCCCATTTCTGAACTGTCTCCCAAGAGAGCCCAGTGGGGAGCAGGGGCTCCCCGCTGTGTCAAATTAAACGCACCAAACCCCATTTCTTCTTTCTGCTTTTAATTCAGAGAAGTGGGAGGGGGTGGGCAGGAGGTGTTTACAATGAAATCCTGGAATATGAGAAAAAAACGTTATTTTTCTTTTCCGATTGGGAATCCTAGAAAGATAACGAGCGTAATGGTTCCTTCCATCTCCGAGACAAGTGTTAATTTTTACTTAGTGCCTTTTAATCTTCCCGTCCCAGCTTGGGGATGGGTGCCGGTGGCTGAGCTGGTGTCCCCACACCAAGAGTAAGGGCTCCAGGTCTCCCCAGTCCAGGCTCCCATGCCAGCTGCCGGGAGCCACCCTCAATAGCCCAGGATAGCCTCAAACTCCACAGGGAGCTGAGGAGGACCTTGAACCCTGTCCCTCCACCTCTGCCAGGACGGCCGTGTGCACACTCAGGTATGAGGTATGAGTTGTGTATGTTTTTGTGTTAATGTCCATGCCCAGGCGCCCGGAGGCTGGCGCTGCGCCGTCCTCCCTGTTTTCAGTGTCTCTCACTGGGCCGGGAGTGTGGCAGTGAGCCAGGCCCCTCCCTGCGTGCGTGTGCCGTGGGTCCAAATCCGGCGCCCGTACTTGCTGTACCCACTGAGCCACCTGACCTCCTCGGCCCTTTGTTTCCACGCCTTTAATCCCAGCACTGGGAGGCAGAGCCAAGGGGAGCTCAGTGAGTTTCCAGCTAGCTTGGTCTAAAAGAGTTCCAGGACAGCCAGGGCTGCAAAAGGAGGCCCTGTCTCAAATCAATAAAGGAGTAAAATAAATGAAAGCTCACCTTGTCACTGGGTGAAACATAACTCAGCCTTTGGAGTCAGGCTTGGATGGAGGAAACAGAAGAGACTTCCAGAACACCTAGGGCATTGTGTCTTGGGTTTTGACACATGGTGAGGAGTTTTATGGGTTGGGTCAGCAGTGTGGAGAAGGGAGCATGGAGCCCCCAGGAGGTCGCCCTCTCTTCCAGCTGCCACGCCGCCCAACCTCGTGGACCGGCCCTGCCTGAGGCTGAAAGTCTACGTGCGTCCAACCAGTGAGTGTCTTTAAGGGCATGGGAAGCACCCAGGTCCCCTCACCCCGCCTTTGACCCTATAAGTGGTCCAAAGAACTGGGCGTCACAGAGTCCCGTCCCAGCCCCCCCAAGCCTGGGACCTTGGAGAGTGCCCAGCCCAATGCAACCTGGCTGACGGCTTTGTGGCCTGTGTCCCCACAGATGAGACCCTGTACGAGGCGCCGGAGCCCATCTTCACCAGTAACAGCTCCTGCAGTGGCCTGGGCGGCTGCCACCTCTTCCTTACCACGGTCCCCGTATTGTGGACTCTCCTGGGCTCCTAGTGTCAGGACAAGGACATCAGCCCCACCCGGACCTCCCGACTCGTCCCTCGGACCCACCTCGGCCACCTCTGAGACAAAAATTCTTGCTGCTTCTCTTTCATGGTGCTGTCCCAACAGAGGAGGCCGCCCACCCACCGCGGGTCCGATGCCCGAGGAGGAGACCCAGCTGAGCCACTTTCTCCGTGGCTGTCAGGGAGCTCAAGGCCTCCCAGCGTTGGTTTAGTTCTGGAAGACTTGAGTGCCGTCTTTTAATTTATTCCCTGATATTGGTGGTGACATTGGGACAAGCCAGCAGGGTGAGTGGGCCAAGGATCTCCAGCCACTCCTCCCTGTGCCGCTATCTGGGTCCAGATGGAGCCCGCCACAGACTTGTCTGACCCAGAGGGTGCATGGTGCCAGCCTCTCGCTGGGGCGCCGGGGGCTCGGCCCCCTCTGGCAGCCTCTGCGGAGCCCTCCTCAGCATCTCAGCCCTTCAGCCCTGCGATCCACCCCGCCACCCAGGCCCCTCCACCAGGCACAACCGGCTCCAGGGCCTGGGAGACGTTTTATTTCTGTAAATAGAAGCCAGCAAATGTGTACTGTGATTTATTTTAATGTATTCTTCAGGACAGAATGGACGTTCTTTTAAAAAAATTTTTTCCAGACCTTCAATTCGAAGGGACTTTTATTTTGGTTGGGGAGAAGTGGGGTGGACTTTTTAGGATAGAAACAACACTTCGCAATAAACTCATTTTTTGTCCTTGTCCATTGGAGCCCTCCCCCTCGATCACATGACCTAGTAATGTTTGTAAGGAAAAAAAAAAGGACGGACTGAAAAGGAAGGGAGCTACCTACCAAAAATACCGGAAGAGCGCAGGACCCAGTGAAACTGGCCACACACGTTTCTACGGGTTTCTACCCACCTTTCCTCTCTCTGTTTTATATCTATTCTATATAAATATATATTGTGGATGGCCGCCATGGCAAGGGGTGGCTGGGGGGCTTTTGTAGGGGGGGCCAGGAGGATGGGTGGCCCTGCCCCCTCATCAATCAGCTTTGAAGTCTGTATTTTTTATAATAAAATGGTCAATCTGTAAGGTGTGGGTCTCCCTCTGTTAGGGGCGTGTAAGAATTTGGGACAGTTGTGGGGGCTCTGTGGATCCCTTGCTTGGGGACACAGACCCTGCTGCTTCCTGTCTGATCTCAGGGTACTGGGGCATCTGCAGGTAGGAGCCCAGCTTCCTAGGGATCACCCTGATTCTCTGAGAAAAGCCTGGCCTGATGGTGCTCGCCTGTCACGGCCGCACAGAGAGGTGGAGGACCAAGCTTGGTGTACACAGGCAAACAAAAGACTGCCTCTCCAGGGTGGGGGGAGCCTGACACTGAGACGGCCTCTGACCTCTACACACAGGTGTGTGTGCACACGCACGCACACATCTCCATCACCAGGCTACATTTATGTGACTCAGTTTCCCCGTGTGACTCGGGTGTGTGGGAGCCATGGTGATGTTCATCTGTCTCTTTGTTGGGAAGGGAGGCCCGGGGTTCCCCAACTCAGCTCCACTTGGGATTGCCAACAGTTGTTGGTGACAGGTGACCTGACAGAGGACCTGGGATCCCGTTGGTGGCCCCTTGCCGTCGGCGACTGCATTCGGGCACAATTAGCTGAGAGGCAACACTCCGAGCCCATTAATTCAGTCGCGCTGGGCCCTGCAACGGGGGCTGCGTCCTAATGAGGCCAGTGCACCATACAAAGGGCCTTGTGTCCCAGCCAGCCCTGCCTAGCAGAAGGCGGGCCAACCGGCAGACACTGCTTTGGGGAGGCATGGCTGCACTGAGCATGAGCTCAGAAGCACCCCCATCCAGACACCCCCACCCGGACCAGGGTGCTGCGGCTGCGGCAGTCGGTGGGCGGTAGAGAAATGACTCCAGCAATGAGTCAGGGTTGGTGGCCAGCACTCAGGAGGTAGAGGCAGGAGGATCTCTGGGTCGAAGGCCAGCCTGGGCTACAGTGTAAGCCTCCGTAGAAGGGAGGAGAAAAGACTGAGGGCCCCAGCGATGACTTGGTGGGTAAGCCCGCGGCACACTGAGGACCCACGTTCAGGCCCCAGGATCCATGGGAAAAGCTGGAGGCTGGGACCTGGACACAGCCATCCAAGTGGCGCAGATGAAGCCTAGAGCCGGCTGCTCATGCCGCTGTCCAGCCTGGGACGGTGCTGGTGCACCTAAGGCCGGACACTCAGCACATCCACGCCAGGCTCCCTGAGCTGTGACGTCCCCATCCGGTGCACCCCACCCCAGGCGGAGCCCTGCAGTCCAGAGCTGTGGTGGCATCGGTATGCTAGTCCTGTGACTGCATCTTTTCCACCCAAAGCTTCCAGAGAGAAGCAATCTCTCTCCCGCGGCCATTTACTGCCGCCTCGGTAGCTGCCATGGGCAGGGGGTGGCGGCGTGGAGGACAGCACGGCTCGAGGTACCCAGGGGCCCTGATGATGGCTCTGGCCCCTCAGTTCTCAACAGAAAGCAGCGTCCATCTCCTCCCAATCCCCCAAGTGAAAGCTGTGCATGCCTTTTTTTCTTTTTTTTTAAGACAAGGTCTCACATAGCCCAGGCTGCCCGTGCTATGTAGCCCAGGATGACCTTGAACTCCAGACCCTCCTCCCAAGTGCTGGGATGGCAGGTGTGCCACGTCCTGCTTGATTTTTTTTTTTTATGTAACTAGTGCTCCTTTGTCTAGAATTTTCTTTCCTTTCTTTTCATCTTTAGACCTCTGCCCCGAGGGTGAAGATCCAGGGCTGTCTTAATCCCTGCCTGTGTCTGCCACCTAGAATGCGCTTGGTACACAGTGGGCACTCAATCAATGTCCGTTGACTGACTGAATAAATGTCGTATATATTTATGCAAATTAAGCTACAGGAGCAAAAAGAAAGAATAAAGGAGTGTCAAATACAAATTGCACTGGAGAGGCTGAGACAGGGGGATGGAGTTGGAGATCAGTCTTGACTACATAGCAAGAGGAACCCAAAACAATAGACCTTCGAGTGAAAAAAATTAAGAAGTTAAAACGAGTAAATAGAAAATGCTGTCTCGGGGGGCTGGAGAGATGGCTCAGAGGTTAAGAGCACTGACTGCTCTTCCAGAGGTCTTGAGTTCAATTCCCAGCAACCACATGGTGGCTGACAACCATCTACAATTCAATCTGGTATATATGTAATTAATAAATAAAATCTTTAAAAAAAAAAAAAAGAAAATGCTGTCTCTCATGTCAAGGTCAGAGCCTTCCTTGTATACATTGTCATGACTAGGCCCTGCTCCATCTTGGCACCTGGCTGGAGCTCCTACTGTCCTGATGCAGCTGGGACATCCCGCCCCTAAGCCAGGTTACAGGGGGACGCCCGGACACAGCCTGGAGATCACGGGAGATGACACAAGGCGGAAATCAACCAGGCACAATTACCCCGGTAGCTGTGAGGACACCCGCAGACCTGGGGGCCGCAGCCCGCTGGTCCTCAGTTTTCCTTCGGGGCGGGGTGGGGGGGGTGGGCGGGGTGGGGCGTGCTGGTCTCAGGTGGAGGTGAGCAGCAATAGAAGGTGGGAGCGGGCCTTATGGGGGCGGAGCCGGGGCAGGAGCCTAAGGGGCTGGACCTCTTGAGAGAAGGCGGGGTCTGAGGTTAGATGTAGGATGGGAGGGGCGTGGTCTGAGAGGCGTGGGTCTTGGGGCTCAGTCAGAGGCCTCCTGCAGGTGTGGGAGAGAAGCCACACCCCTAACCCTGGTGGACCGAGCTTCTGGGGCTCCCAGACCCAGCCATGCCACAGAGGCCTTGACAAGCGTTTCTACTTTTACTGACATCAGGCAGGGAGGTGGTGAGGTGGGGGAGGACTCTAGGCTGGGGACCACGGACTTGGTGGGATCCGCTCTCCTGGGACCCCTCTGGTTGGCTAGGATCAGAATCCCTGTCCCGAGATCCCCCACCTCCACCTCATACACTTAACTGGCTCGCAGACCGGCCTGGGAGATGGAGGGACCCCATCTGGGTCCCCCAGGGAGTGTCCACCCCAGACTCTCCTGACCCCATCCATGGAAAATGGAGGCCTAGAAGCCCAGGAGGGAAGGTTCGTTTGACCTCATGTGCAGTGTGGCCAGCGTGGGGGACGCTGGGCAGTGGAGACACCCCACAGCCCGTGCAGATGGAGAAACTGAGGCCTCTCTTGGGTCCCATGGGTCGATGGGATGGGACCAAGACGATGGTGGGTAAGGCATGAGGATGCCAAGACACTCAGGGTCCCGTCCCTGCAATGCTGGCGCCCACTGTCCTTTCTCCATCACTGCATTTGGGGAGCTAAATTTCTACCCCAGCCCCACTCCCACAGTGGGCCTAACTCCTGGGGATGAGAGAGTCTTTCAGCACGCCTTTAATCCCAGCACTGGGGAGGCAGGGGCAGGCGGATCTCTGTGAGTTCAAGACCAACCTGGTCTACAGAGTGACTTCCAGGACAGCCAGGGCTACACAGAGAAACCCTGTCTCAGAAAGCAAAAACAAATCAAAACTATGTCCGGTTTCTGATGCTTGTTGGGCCAGCCTACTTTATAACTATAAAGTAGGTATAAAGTTATACTAAGGAAGAATGGACCATCCCCAGGCCCCACCCTGTTAATGGTTTGTGGGTGGGATGGGCCCTGGAGATGCCAGCCAGGGGGGATCCTAGCTCTCACCTAGCCCCTGGGATCCTCCAGGCCAGTTTGGGGAGCTCAGTGGTGTGGGACAGCCTTCAAGGGTCATTTCTCCAGCAGAAATGGGGGCCTGGGGTCCCTGTGGGATAGTGGGGGAGTCTGGAGTGTTTGGAGAGTCCGCTGGTGGCCCTGGTAGGATTGGGGCTGCGTGTGTCCCTGCCAAAGTTAAGGTCCTATCTGATTCACCCCTACCCTGTATCAATGACAGCTGGGTCCCCATACACTGGGGTGATGTTAGTGTCATTTATCACACATGAACAGGCTGGTGGCTCAGCCAGGAAACTGAGGAACAGAGATGTCTGGCGACACCCAGGCAGAAGCCACACCTTTAGGAGCTAGATAAACCTGACTTCCAGCACCTTCCTTAACTACCCACTATGGACCACGGCCCTGCCCATCTACCCAATTTCATTTTGTTGGTCAGAATGACGGCTGAGGTAGCGGAGGGTTCCTTTGTGAGCTGTGTGGCAGGGTCTGCACCACGAGGTCCTAGTGTCTCAAATACAGTCAACCCCTTTCCAGGAACACTTACTGAGTGTCCCCAGGAGCCTTATGGGTAGACTGAGTCAGCCGGGGATGGCGCGAGGCACTGGCCGCCTTTTCCATTGTTCATTCCCCCTTGGCAGGAGACGGATGGGGCTGGTAACAAGTGGGGAGGAGGGGGCTCCACGGGAGCCAGTGGTGCTGGCTGCAGATCTTTAAATTAAAATACATATATACACCAGATAAATAACCCTGGCCCACATCCTGGCGACAGGCAGAATTAAGTTGCCTGGTTGGAGACCCGGCAGTGAACACTGGGGACAGCAGGAGAGGACGCGGAGACATCACCTGTTCTCAAGGCCCCCTGACTGTCCCCAGCTCTATCCTGCCAGCCTTCCCCCACGCATCCTCCCACCTCCCCACGGGGGACAGAGTAAGGATTCCTGGGTCCCACGTTCTCCCGGAGAAAGGAGGCATTAGGCAGATCACAGCCCTCAGGACCTGCCACAGTTTGTCCCCTGGCTCACGCAGGCCCAAGGAGGCCCCCAAGGGGCCCCTGCACAACTGCTGGGTCCTCCTGGCCCCAGAGCCCGCGGAGAGGGGTGGAGGGCGGCTGGGCGGCAGGAGGGGATTTTTCAATTACGAATCAGCTAATCGCTAGAGAGGGCCGCTCTGGGGCCCACCGAATCTTTTCTGAAAACCCTGTACAATGTTAATGACCTGGACAATCCCTGGATTAGGCCACTGGGAGAGGAAACCAAGGCTGCTGGGGGATTAGCAGACGGGAGGCAGGGAGGTGGGCTCTGGAGGGCTTGGGGCAGAGCCGTCCCCGGAGATCCGTTTTCTCACTGAAGATGCTAATCTTAAGGCTGGGGAAACTGA